GTATAATTTATCAAGCATTTGTAGCACAGCTTTCTAGCCCCGCTCAATCATAATTTTGGAAGAACTTAATTTTTTCTCTCATGAAAATAGTTCACTCTGGAGATGATCCAGACCATTTTGAGTGCCCAGTGCCTGTATAAAATGCTGCAGCGTAATTTCAGTCGTTTACTTCTAAGCTTTGACCAAACTTGAGCCTCCTTCAGTAACCCATTATCACATTATCCCTAGGAGAGCATGAACCTTGGACAGCTATTACACATGCTGCTTTGTTCTGTCACATTTCTGAAATCTACACTAAGAATAGGATGCAGGCTCTTGAAAAACCCGTAAAGAACTGGCTAGGAGAGGGAGGGGGAAGGTAAAGAATCTGTGTGTTCTGCGTTGGTATATTTCATGTTTTACTACTATAATTTCTCATTCAGTGAGATCCTGTCCCTAAAATGCTGGGGTACACTTTGATTTGGAAATGTTGGCATTTCTCTTTCAGGGATGCTTCTGGAAACCTGTTTTATGGCAAGTTCTTTACTTCCCTTTTGGCTTGGCTCCCACATTTATGCTGGCATTCATCTTCTCTTCATCCACTTTAAGGCATTTTTAAATTTTATTTACTTTATTTTCTCTCTGGAAATTCTACACACTTGCTAGATTATTTAATCTTGGTCAGCATAGTAAATGACGTAAGGATATTTTATGCTGGCGATGGAAGTCTCCTTAGACTTGTTTACTAGTCAGAGTTCTGCTTTTTCTTCACTAGTCAGAGTTCTGCTTTTTCTACAGCTGTTGGAAAGTTAGCTGACCTTCACCACAGTTTTACATTACAGAGATCTGGTTTTGCTTTAATTCTGTGAAGATTTTTGGTATAGTCCATTTTACTTCCAAACTACTGTTCTTAGTTACCTTTAACTTTAAAGGTGCTTTATCACTCCTCAAGTTTAAGACTGTAATCCTGGCATTTTATTTTACTAAATGAACTATAAATCCTTGTATTCAGAGCACGCATGTATTTCCCATTTGCTACTGTAACGTAGAGAAACACTTAAATGGGTAGATTTCCTTACTTGTAGGTTCAAGTTGGTTAGAAAAACCTATTGTACCTAAGATCTGTGGCTTTCACCCTGTGAGTTTACCTTAAGTTTAAAATCCGTTTTTAAAAAAGTATTGTATGAACACCTCTTATTTTCTCAACATCTTTACTAAATGATGTCTCCCAAATTCTACTTCCTCTCCCTCTCTCAGGCAACAAAACAGTATATATTAATATAATCCTTTGGCTGAATCAGATTGCCCACAGTTCCTCATATCTTGGCCCTTATTTCCTCAGAGTGAATATTTGTTGGCTCAGTGGTGAAACCGTATCAGTTATTTCTTCCGTCTTTATTCAGTCACCAGCTGGATTGACCCAATTTATTCACCCCCCAAGGCCAAATTCGTATCTGTTGCTAAGTGCTTCCAATTAAATAGAACGTAAAATTCGAGACTTAGACTTTTATTCCTTTGGTATTTGTCTGTGTTGTATAGCATTTCCCTGCAAGCTTCATCTCATCCACAAATGATGTGATGATGAGCGTGGTCTGCTGGATTATCTTAGGTTTATCATCTGTAAACCTGCTTTTTCAAATTATTAGTTCATCTGTAGTGTGAGTCAAAAACACCCCCGTACCATTTTGCAGTTTTTAAAAATATAAGTAGAAGAGCAGAATGTGGGTTTTGTTTTGTTTGTTTTAATGCAAGTCGAGTTTGCACGTGGTCTGAGAAGTGAAAGGACCGTAATAGTCTGATAAAAGCCGGTGCTCTTTTGCCCACGCCTCAGCCCATTACCGCAGTCTCTTCGCTCACAACCATTTTCAGCTCTTGGAGCTGCTGATTTTCATTTGTATGTGTCTCTCCATATTTTCCGAGGAACGTGTTTCTTTTCTGATTCATTAATTGAGACCTTCACGCAGGCAGAGGATGTCGTTTTCTTGAACAGCCATCCTTTCTGCTTTTGCTCTCCCTTCCCCATTTTCCCAGCGTCTGCACCTTTTGGTTAAAACGGTATTTCCATTATTTGCCTACGCACATAGTCACAGATAGCGTTATCCTGTAGTTTCCTTGTAAAGTTTTCCCGTAGCTAATAATTGCTGTGTATACTTTGATTTGCAGGGCATTCTTTCTGCCTGTTAATGCTTCCCGTACCTCTCATTGCCTCTGGGACCGTTTTCCACCGGGTCAGTCAGCACTGGCCAGTAGGAGTGCACCCCACATGTATAATTTCACCCTTTCTAGTGGCAAAAAGCTAAAAAGAAGCGGATGAGATTAATAGTAATTCATTTAGCCCAATATGTTTACAACCTTATTTTTACAAATACCACTGAAAATATTGGAGATATTTTAGTTTCCTTTTTTAGTGCTGTCCTCAGAATCGGATGTGCATTCCTACACTTCAGACTGTTAACCTCTCAGTTGCTCTCAGGCTGCTATAGTGGACAGAGCAATTTCAGCTGATTTCTTGGTTACAATTTTTGCCTTAGAGGCATCTGTACCAGACGCCTCCATTCTCCTTCTGGACTGTTTGGTCTGGAGGCCTGACACACACAGCTGTCATCTTAGAAACATCCTCTGCTTTTCTTGATTGGATTCCCTATTTCCTGGATTTCAGGTCTTCTCCTTATTTTCCTCCGGTGGTTTCGTTTAGTCATGGTGGGTACGGTGGACAGAGGCATTCATTGACACATTCAGTCTCCTGAGTCACACTGCTCCGGTCTGGCCCCCTTGCTCCAAGGTCTTATACATACTTGTCATCCTGGGAACATCTCCCTCCACAGTGTCTGTGGAAATTTCCTTTGCCTTTGCTCTTGTGTCAGGTTTTCTTTTTCTTTACTATAGCTTCTATTTTTCTCCTTCCTGGTTTATATCTTCCCTCAGATGGCAGACCTGTTCAGTGGATTGCCAAGGACCAGGAGTGTGGGTGGTAAGCTGTTTGACACCTCGCCTCTCTGCAGTGTTTTTATTAATGCCTTCTCACTTGATGACAGTTGGGCTGGATATAGAATTCCAGGTTGGAGATCATTTTGCTTCAGATTCTAAAGGCATTGCTCCATTGCTGTCTCACTTTCAGTGTTCTAGTAAAGTCCGAAGCCATTCTGATGACCTTATCCTTTGAAAATGCATTATTTTTTTCTTTTTAGGAACTTACAGGATATTTTCTTTGAAGGATTCTGGAATCCTGTATTAATGTGCCTTAGTATAGGTCTGTTCTTATTATGATGAGCACTTGCTAGATCTGAAGATTCCCTTCAACTGTTCTTTGGTTTTTTTCTTTGTATTATGTTTTGCCTAGTTTTCTGTCGGGGGGCGGGGGGGGGGTTGGGGGATAGGTGGTGCTCTGCTTTCTGGGAAGATTTTCTTCTACCTTTACCTAACATCTTGTTCTTAATTCATGGATATAGTATCTTTTCTTATCTTACCGAGCATATTAATAATCTCTTCTTTAAAGCTTCTTTTCTCTGCAGTTTATTTCTTCCAAGGGGCTTTTATTCCTGTCATTTTTCTTGTAAATCTCTTTGATATTAGAGGATTTCCTCTTAGGTCGTAGAATCAGTGGTTGTCTGTGTGTGATGAAGAGTCGGGGCTCAGAAGGCAGATTCAGAGCTTGGAGAAGGTGGAAGGAGCTTATCAGCACTGATCCAGCCGCTAGCCATCTAGGTGGGCTGTTGATTGGTTGTTGGTTATATGCCCTGGTGATAGTTTCTTCTGGTCCTTCCTCTTGTCTGCTCAGATCACCTAGAAAGCATTCTGCCTCCTGATTTACATCCTCCGGAAAATGATTCTCCAGAGTTCCTGTGGTGCGGGGTGGCAGTCCCCCAGCAGCACGGAAGGGGGGCGGCGGGGATGGTGGAGAGCCCTTTCTTCCCAGACAGCCCCAGCCCTGAGCCCTGCAATGAAGCTCATCCTCGCATCCAGAGGCAGCACTTCCTGAGCCTCTGCAGGATTCTTTGCTGGAAATCAGGGTGGTTCTCTGCTTTTCCTCATCGCTGGCTTGTAATTGAGCTTTCTCAGGCCTGCCAGCTCCTAAAGATTTCCAGCTTCCAAAATTCTGTTGCTATCTTCTCCTGTTCTCCCTTGTGAGTTTGTCTTTTTTTTTCCCCAATTGTAGTGAAATATACATAACAAAATTTACCATTGTAACCATTCTTAGGTGTACGGTTTATGTGTGGCAGGAAGTACATTTACATTGTTGTATGAGTTGATCTTTTAATAATAATAAAATACAAATTAAGAAGAAAAGATTTTTAAATGGGATTGTAGTGTTGTTTCAGGAAAGCGAAATTAGATGGGTGTGATCAGTCTCGCAGGAGGCATACCTTGGGTCTTCTGGTAATCCAGACACTTGCTGTTAATCGAGACCCTTTCTCTTTCTGACCCGTTTGGTGTAATGGGATTTGTCTAACCATCTCCTAGGAAAGCAATTGAATAGTTATTGGCATCAAAGTGCATTTTATCTGCCCTTGATAATTGTAGCTTTACACAAGGTTACAGATGGAACTCCCAGGCATGACGTTCAAGGCTCTCAACGGTCTAGCCCACCCACCCGCCCACGTGCCCCAGCTGGCTGTCCTTCCTCCTGCTAGCTCACTCACTGTTCTTGCAGAAGATGTGCACTCCAGCCTTCAATGTGCTGGATGTTCCTGAGTGAACCCCCCCCGCCCCCAGCCCCCGCCAGCCCTGGCACCTCCCTGCTGTCTTCTGCGTCCTTCAGCTCCCTGCCCCACGCTTCCTCCCACTGTGGCCATGTGGCTGTTCCTCTCCTGTTTTCCTTTCATGACCTTGTACATGCCTCTGAGTTATCACCTTGCATTTCCCACACTGCCCGGCTCTCTTTGATGTGTGTTTCTGTGCTGGGCCTTCCTCAGTGCCTGGCACATAGCCCGTGCTCGATTAAATGTCTGGATGGAGTCCTGGGGACAGAGGTTTCAAAAGAGAACTCTTTATCTTTTTCTTTCTTTTTCTTTTTTTTGTAGGATATCCGACACGAAGCCAGTGATTTCCCATGTAGGGTGGCCAAGCTTCCTAAGAACAAAAACCGAAACAGGTACAGAGATGTCAGTCCCTGTAAGTATTCACATCGCCAGTCTCCCTGCTTCCATTGCGTCGGCTTCTCCTTGGCTGCGGGGCTGCTCAGTCAGGACCCCTCACCCCCAGGGTTTAGCAGTAAATCAGTAGCAGTAGAGGTTTATGACTTGATTGTTTCCTATAATAAAGGCATTAGAGACTTAGAGTAATGGTTCATTTTTTCCACGATTGTAGAAGGAATAAGGTTTCAGTTTCTGGAAAATTCAGCTAAGTTCAAAGCAGTGTTTTTAGCTTTGACTGTTTTAATGATGAATCATTTTCCTACCAGCTGAAGCAGAGTATAGTAGGTATTTCTGGATGACTCAGCAACAGTATTACTCGACCCGAGCATCATATTGAACTGTAATAATGTCCCCCCCCCCCCCGCTACTGAAGACCGCTCTGCTCATTGAGTCCCACCCCTACCGCCAACACCAGTCTTCTAGCCCTTTCTTGCCATTAGCTCTCAGTGTGCCTGCCCGCCTCTGACCACCTCCTCTGCCTTCAGCAACCGGCTCGGAATCTGCTGATCACTCCAAAGGAAAGAACTAAATGTGTTAGAATTTGTGTAAAGCGAGAAAAACCGGAGCTGAGTTAAGAGCATGGACTTTGCCATCTCCTCTAGGCTGCAGGGAACCTTCCCCTCTGGGGTTTTTAGACCGTGTCCCTCAGAGATGGTTGTAGCTGCCAGCTTCCCCCGTGGCAGTCCCGTCCGTCTGCCAGGGACGCAGAAGGCTCTGGCCGGCATCCCTCACACAGGCACTTCCTGCGTGCCTGCCACGTCACGCCGCACCGTGGCCGCGGGTGCTGGCGTTCGGTGCTCTCGAGGGCAGTCAGCGGTGCCTCCCCCCACCCCCCCACCCCCAGATTGTACAGTGGCCAGTCCCGGGGAGGGGAGCAGAGGTGTGCCTGGGTTAGCCCCCCGCAGTCCGCCTGTGCACGCCTCCGTGGTTCCCTGCCGGGGGTGCATCCCAGCCTGCCGCAGACCAGCTGTGTGGCTTTGGGCAGATCGTTCTCCTCTCTGATCTTCAGTGAAGCGGGAGCCGCACAGATCTCAGGTGCGCTTCGCTCCATGTCTCACTCATAAACGCTGGCTGTGGTTGAGGCAGTTGTTAGCGGGTTAACGGAAGGTGCACGCCAGGGGCATCTGAGGTGTAGCCGGGTCATCAAGTGGCACACGATGGCACGCCAGCACCCGACGCTCGTGGTTTAACGTGTCGTGTTGGGGCTGTGCGCCTAGTAGGTTTTATTAAAGAAACAAAGCTCCCCTCGGGCGATCGTGTTGTGAGGTCCCGGCCAGCTGCCCTGTGCTGCAGACAGCGGTTCCCGTGGCATTGCTCATGCAGAGCGAGGAGACACCCCCCCCCCTTCGCCTGGGGAGAAATGTCTTCTTAATACTCCTGCGTTCTCCTCTGAGCTCCTCTAAATGGGCTCCTGAGCCAGCTCTTCACAGAGGAAAACCAGCATTCAGAATACTCTTCCCAGGAAACAAGTCCCAGCCTTTTCACCCCGTGTCACTCCTGTTTTTCTTTTGACCTCCCACCTCCACTATCCAGCAGGACAGATAATTGGCTTAAGGTCACAGGGGACACGGGGAGAATGACTCAAGGTAGAACGTGATCCTGGCATCTGTCTCCCATTTGGCAATTTGGAAAAAGCCCCGGCAGCTCTCAGAGGAGTTGTTTGTCCAGGGTCACCCCACCAGGACCCAGTCCTCTAACCCACCAGGGGGTTGAATGGCCTCGCAGTCTTTTGGGGATCTTTTCTCTCCCTGACTCAAGTGTTCCCAAGTATTTCAACTTGTATTACTCCTCTGTGATGATGAACATCCTTCCAAACTGGGGCTAATTTTTAAAACATATCATCTTTTTTTAAAAATATAGTTTATTTAATTTTGAGAGAGACCGAGTGCGTGAGCAAGGGAGGGCCAGAGGGGGAGGGAGACAGAGGATCTGTGCCGACAGCAGAGAGCCTGATGTGGGGCTCAAACTCCCGAACTGCGAGGTCATGACCTGAGCCTAAGTTGACCGCTCAACCGACTGAGCCCCCCAGGCGCCCCTTCTTTGAAATCTTTTAGAACAAAAAACCCCAGACCATGGGTCCCCATTAACTTCTCCTTTCCCGTTGGGCTAAGGGGGAGAGAAGATGGCATTTATGAGTGGTCACCTGAGTTCATCATCCTTGTTGAACCAGAAATAAAAATACCCGCCTGCTCTTGTTAGCTGTGCTAGCAGGATGGGGATCTGGCCCCCAGGAAGCACTGCTTCTGTGACAAAGTCCTGGTAAGAGAGCAAGAAAGGTGGCCGTGTGTTTTCAGTAACCTGGGGCAGAACATCCCAAGGAGAATTTATTTTTAAAAAAGCATCCTGGGGAGTGCCGGGGAAGGTGGGGGGCTCAGTGGGTTGAGTGTTAGACTCTCGGTGTCGGCTCAGTCATGATCCTGGGGTTGTGGGATCAAGCCTTGCATCATGTCCCATGCTCAGCACGGAGCCTGCTTGGGATTCTCTCTCTCTCTCTCTCTCTCTCTCTTTCTCTCTCTTTCTCTCTCTTTTCTGTCTTTCCCCCACCACCCCCTCCCCTTCTTGTACTCTCACTCTCTCTTCAGAAAAAAAAAAAAATTAGAAAAAAACCCTATTCTGACAGTTACATTTAATGTACCTTCAGAGTTTTGGATTCAGAGTTTAGTTTTTCCAGTTAAAAACTCGGATCAGGTCAGTTTCTGAATTTGAAATATTTAGAATCACTTAAGTGTGTTACACTTGACTTAAAAAAAAAAAAAAAAAAAACCCAACCCTTAAGTAAAGGAATTCAAGGTATCACTTTTCACACCACTATATATTTAGGTCATTTCACCCCCAACCCATTAGACAGAGGATAGGTGGAGATGCGCTCATAAATCCTACCAACTGTAGCTCATTGTACCACCTAACGCTGTAGGGACTAGGTGAGATTTTTGGTGGATTTTTTTTCTCTTTTAAAGATTGAAGCTACTATATTTTATTACCTTGTAAAACTACATATCAGGCACCTGAGAACAGATCCCTGATACCCTCTCCCCATACTCTACTGATTTGTGGGGCAGTGATAAGTTAAGGAAGATCTGACCTAAGAGGAGGTTGTCCGGTTAGGACATAACTCATGTTTTCATCTGATTTGTCTCTGTTGCTGTTTAGCATTAAGTTGCAAACACTTCCAGAAACCTTTTGGAAAATACTAAGCCGTCCCCATGTTGATGACTAATCTCAGTTGAAACAGCATGGCCTCAGCCAGTGTGAACGCCTTTAATGCCACCAGCTCACCTTTTTCACTTTCCCCATGGGGTGCACTCTGCCTGTGTAGACCACCTTGGCCCTCCAGGACTAACCTCTGAGTTCTGGTTTGCCTTTCAGTTGACCACAGTCGGATTAAACTACATCAAGAAGATAATGACTACATCAATGCCAGTTTGATAAAGATGGAGGAAGCCCAAAGGAGTTACATTCTTACGCAGGTAAATGGATTGTCCACATTTTTTTAATGGCTTTTTGCCTTAGTTGATGTCCACTTAAGAAGTTTGGACTACCATCATTTATACCTCAAGTAAGATCTGCCACACCCTTTCAAAGGTCAGGTTTTACGCAATCCAAAACAGCAACAAGGAAGGGGGGAATCTTCCTTCAGAGATTCAGTCTGGTTGTAACACGCATCTTTTCTGGGAAGTATGCCACTCGCTGGGCTTACAGAAAACAGCATGAGATGCCAGAATGGCCTGTGGTCTGTTGACCGAGGCAGCAGGGGGTGGCAAGGGACCCGCCCGTACCTGTGCTCGTTCCATAATGATAGAGCCCAGTCATCTCTGTTCAGGTGTCCATTCAGAACTCCCCAGCATGGTCCTCATTCTTTGGCCTAGAAAAAAAAGCATCCTTAGATGATGCAGACAGACATGCAAAATCATTTAATTTTCCTATTGGCGTTTGGTGTTTTTATGGAAAAACATCATAGAAATGATCTAACAGTCGATCTTCTTATGAGACACTTAACTAGCGTGTGACGTGAAGACCGTGGGTATGCAGGAAAGAGGATAAAGAAATTTCTTTTTACTTAATTTTCTCAAGTCCTAGTCAGTTACCTGTAAGTTGCTCTAAACAACTCTGGGCTTCTCTCTCTTTTTTTTAAATCATAATTTTTGCTTTCTCATTCCATATCAGTTTATCATTCTTTAAAAAAATTTTTTTTAATGTTTTTTTATTTTTGAGAGTGAGAGAGAGTGTGAGCAGGGGAGGAACAGAAAGAGAGGAAGACACAAAGAATCCAAAGCAGGCTCCAGGCTCCGAGCTGTCCGCACAGAGCCTGATGTGGGCTTGAACCCATAAATCGCGAGATCATGACCTGAACTGAAGTCAGATGCTTAACTGACTGAGCCATCCAGGCTCCCCAGTCTATCATTCTTTTATATGGCTTTGGGGTATTTGGTGATTTTGAACATCGTACTTCTGTTTAACATTTAGAGATTAAAAGGACCGTGAAGCCAGAAAACCTGTGAACAGAGGCTGCTTTGGGGTAGGGAGCTGCGTCAGGACATACCTACCATGGCCCCTCTTTATTGCCCTTTCTTGTCTTGTTCCTCTCCTCTCTGTCCGTGAGGACAGTCAGTCCAAGTGCCTCCCAGTGTACAAAACACCAGCCATGCTGTGTTCAGTCCTGCGACCCATTCAGGAAGTTCTTGGCGTATGCACAGGGGTCAGGCCATTACCAGGCTTCAGGTCGAAGTCTTCCCAGCACCCTGTGGGGGTTGGGGGCTAGGGTGATGAGGAGGGAGATCCTGGTGGTGGCAAGCTGGCGGGAAGGGGTTGAGGGAAAGGCAGCTTCTCAGTAACTTCTCTTTTTAGAAATCAAGTGTTTTACTTCCTGATTTCAGCCATTCAACTTTGGTGTGGGGTTAGGAAGTCCAAAGCAAAGATGGAGACGGGTATAAAGTCAAACAGAGCACCAGGATATCACCAGGGAAACTTTTACACCACCGCCCTCCCCACCCCCGTGCCCTAGCCATTACTTGGCACATCTGAAGGTCGCTGTCTCTTGTCAAATGGTACCATGGACATACCTAGCTGCCTACGTGGTCACCCTTTGCCCAGGGAGTTATAAAAGGGTCTGAATGGGGCACCTGGGTGGGCTCAGTATGTTAAGCGTCCAACTTCGGCTCAGGTCATGATCTCGCGGTTCGTGGGTTCAAGCCCCACATCGGGCTCTATGCTGACAGCTCAGAGGCTGGAGCCTGTTTCAGATTCTCTGTCTCCCTTTTTCTCTGACCTTCCCCTGCTTATGCTGTCTGTCTGTCTATCTGTCTCTCTCTCTCTCAGAAATAAATAAAACATTAAAAAAAATTAAAAATAAAAGTGTCTGAGGTAGCCTGGGCCCAAAGTTCTACCTTTAGACAGTAGGAATGAAACATTTTCTAAGCTACAAAACCAAGAAAACCCTGCCCATTTTTTATTTTCAATGTTCATTATGCAAATAATACAAGTATATAGCCCCCCCCCTTTATAAGGCAGTGATATGGAAGTATAGAGAATAATGGCAAAGGTGCCCTCTGTCACCTTCACAATGAAGTGTTGACTGAGTTTGATGTGTCTCATTTCAGATTTTATATCATTTAATAAAAAAATTTTTTTAATGTTTATTTGTATTTGAGACAGAGACAGTACATGAGCAGCGGAGGGGCAGAGAGAGACAGAGACAGACTCTGAAGCATGGGCTCCAGTTTCCGAGCTGTCAGCACAAGAGCCCGACACGGCTCAAAGTCCCGAGCCGTGAGATCATGACCTGAGCCGAAGTCGGACACTCAACCGACTGAGCCACCCAGGCGCACCTCTTATAAGATTTCCACCCCCTGAGATCCATTCTAAAGTAGGGTGATGGGAGGTGGGGAAGGTGGCCGGCCGGTACCTGGGGGGAGCCATGGCTGTGAGGCCTGGCCTTCGGGCCCAACTTGCAGGAGGAGAGGCCCTGGTGGCTGGTCGGGGGGCCTGCGGCTGCTGTCTGAGGCTCTGGCCAGAGTGCAGCTGTGTCCGGTTCAGGCAGCAGGAGGGAGACGAGTTCTGGAAAGTGAGTGGGCACTGAGGGCTCATGTGGTCAAAAAAGCTGTGGTGAGACTTGAAGGAAAAGGAGACAAAAAAGATCAGGAGAATTTGGGTGAAAATAGGTAAGACTGGAAACCATTCTAGAAATGGTGCTGGCGGGAGGAGGTGATGCGTTCTGTCGCGGAGGTGAGTGGCGATGCCCCTTCCAGGCAGGACTAACCCTTGAGACAAACTGGAGCCACCCATACTCTTGTATGCAGTAAGCATCTACGCCTGTTGCCAGTTGGCACGCACCCCACCACGTCCTCGTGCCCACACTGGACCCCTTGCGCCACCTAACTGATCATTTGTGTCTACATCTTTTCTGTGCCTTGGTCCAAGGATGAAGGCGGTCCATGTTCAGTTTTGTCATTTTTTTTTTTTTAATTTGTTTGTTCTGTGAGAGAGCGCGCGTGAGCAGGGGAGGGGCAAAGAGAGGGAAATCGAAAACTCCCAGCAGGCTCCATGCTGTCAGTGCAGAGCCTGCCGTGGGGTTCCATCCCACAAACCACGAGGTCATGGAGCTGAGCCGAAATCAAGAGTTGGATGCTTAACCTGCGCCACTCAGGTTCATTTTTATTTTATATTTTTTAAGTTTATTTATTTTGGAAGAGACCGAGACCTCATGAGTGGGGGAGGGGCAGAGAGAGAGAGGGAGAGACAGAATCCCAACTGACTGAGCCACCCAGGCGCCCTTCATCAGCATTGATAGTAGTAATAATAATAATAGCTAACATTCCACTGGGTGTTTACTGTGTTCCAGGTGCTGCGGGAAGGCTTTTACGTGAACGGACATAGTTAATTTTCGCAACCCTTTGTTTTTTGTTTTCTTTTTTTAAATTTTTTAAAAATATTTTTATTTATTTCTAGGATAGAGAGAGAGACAGCATGAACAGGGGAGGGTCAGAGAGAGAGGGAGTCACAGACTCTGAAACAGGCTCCAGGCTCTGAGCTGGCAGTCAGCACAGAGCCCGACGCGGGGCTTGAACCCACGAACCGCGAGATCATGACCCAAGCGAAAGTCGGACGCTCAACCGACTAAGCCACCCAGGCGCCCCAACCCTTTGAATAAGGACTGTGATTAGTCGATTAGTCGAGTGAGATGGGTGGAGACTGAGGCATGGAGCTGTGAAGTGACTCCCCCAAGGTCACACAGATGATCAGTGATTGGAGCTGAGACTCGAGCCACCAGAAGTGTCCCTTCTTCCCCGTACTGTCTCTCGGCAGCGCCCACTAGCTTTGTTCCGTATTCTTCTCCTGTTCCTCAGTGGAGCCCCTCTGCCAGTCTGCTCAAACCAGAAAGCGGAATCCACGTTTTCTCTCCGCTGTCTGTCAGCCCTGGACCAGCCCTGAGAGGCAGAAATAACCTTTCACCACAGGAAGGAAAGGGAATCGTGCTTACCGACCACTAGGCAGGGAGGGCGGCCCCTGTCCCCAGCCCCAGCCGCCACTCTGCCTCTGGACACTGCCTGCTAACTGCTAACAGTGTGTAAAACTGCATATGCTTTGTGGGTTGTGTATTTGCAGGGCCCTTTGCCTAACACGTGCGGTCACTTCTGGGAGATGGTGTGGGAGCAGAAAAGCAGGGGCGTTGTGATGCTCAACAGAGTGATGGAGAAAGGCTCGGTAAGTGACGGGTTTATCTGCTCTTCACATCACGGCCCGCAGGCACGCCAGTCCGCCACTTTGTCACTTTTGTCTGAGTTGATTTCTTTAAATTGCTTTTACATTTCTTTTACGTAGGGTCTTTTTGATTAGAAAAATTTAAAGAAATGATACAGACATACATGTTTATTATACACATGTCAGAAAAGTAAATGAATCAAAAAGGGGGAAAAGTCCATTTGTCCTTGACCTAGCCCTCCCTCAACAGTCAGTCCCTCCGGAGTGCGCACGTGTGTGCGTGCATGTGTGCGCGCGCCTGCTGCTGTTCCGTCATGGAGCTGTGTAAGCATAATTTTATTTTGAGAAGGAAGTTTCTACTGTACCTTCCTCATCGCTGCTTTTCTGGCTGGTACGAGGTTGCCTCCAGCTGATGGAGCGCTGGGAGCCACAGGATTCCAGAGTCACCCCCATCAGACACCTGGCTCCTGGCCGCCTCATGAGCGTGGCCATTGTCTGCTCGTGTGTTTGCTGCCGGATTTGTGTTATCCTCTCTCCCCAGTTCTCAGCAACCCTTCAAACATGCTGGGGGATAGTACGTGGGCTAGAGGTGTGTGTGTGTTCAGGCAGCACCCTGCCCTGCTTGCACCTGTCCCTTGAGTCACCGCCCTGGCCTCTCGACTTGCTCTCCTCAGCGTATCCTACACCAAAACCTAGTGTCCCCACGCCTCTGCACAGCTGACAACACTTGTGGGCTCCCCTCTCCCACCCCCCACCCCCTGGGTTGTGCAGATTGTGGCTACAGGACCCAGGCAACCTGGACCCTGGTTTCCCACACCCATCTCCACACTCCAGCCAGAACACACTTCTGTCCTTCCAATTCTCTGGAACAGCCGGAGTCACTGCCCCCTCCCCCACCCCCTGCAGGTGTCTCCAGTTGCTTCCCTCAGGTCAGCCACGGCTCGTGCTCTGCCCGCCCGTCTCATTCTGCAGGTTGCTTGTTAGAGGCCTGTCCCCCATGGAAGGTGACGTTGGGTGCGGGGCACAGTGTGGTATCAGCATAGGGAATAGGCCTCACCCCGGCTCCATGGCTCTTTCCCTCCTCTCCCGACCTGGCCGGCGTACCCGCGGTTCTCCAGCTGTGGCGGTGGAGGCCCTGGGAGAAGGCGGGCGGAGGAAGGCAGACACCAGTGGGAACGAGTGGCCAGGAGCGGAGAATGGCGTGTGCCCAGGCCTTGCCAGCAGCTGGCCCTGTGCTTTCAGGCTCAGCGGGGCCACTGCTGTCACAGCTGTCGTGGCCACCTCACGGCCTGGCTGGCCAGGAGAGCAGAAGGCTCCAGAGAGGGCGCCCTCCAAAGAGTGCAGCCATGGCCCTAGGGGGTGACAGTACAATGCAGAGAAGCAACCCACGGAAGGGGACTTGGGCGGTGCAGCAGCAGCACTCCCCCGGAGCCCCGTCCCTCCCCCGTCCAAAGAACCTGTCTTCCGTACAGCGCATGGCCCTCCGGCGACAGCTCGTGTTGAAAATCAGGCTTTTCTTAAGTACGTATTTGCTCAATAACAGCAGGTGGAGAGCTTACCTGAGCGTTCAAAGAATGAAATCCTGCTTTCTTAGAAAATCGTTTTCAGTGAAAGTGGTTTTTCGTGTTTTCTGCTTCAGTGGCTTGATTAGTAAAATGTGAAGTTAGACTTGCGGAGTCACCCCACCGTCCCCGCTCTTGTCAACAATCTAGAAGAACCTAACCAAACGTTAGGTTCACGTAGTACGCACCCTCCGTGAGGGAAAGTGAAACGGGGTGGCCTGGCCACGCGTTCGCCACTCTGTGAACGTCAGGCATATCTGAAGGTCAGCACCACTGACACGGGAGGTCACAGGAGGGCGTTGGGCAGTGGCCCTGGTCTCTCTTCACCCACGAGATGCTGCCAGCACACCCGCCCCGCTGGTGGCATTCCAGAATGTCTCCAGACATTGTCCACATTTGTGCCGAATTGCCCCCAGTCACGAAGCAGTTCTAGGTGGTATTGAGGGTTGGGAATTGTGTTTACTTTTTATAATTTTTTTTTTAATTTTTTGAGAGATGGAGCATGAGTGTGAGCGGGGGGCGGGGGGGAGGGGGAGGCAGAGAGAAGGAGAGAGAATCCCAAGCAGGCTCCACACGGTCAGCACGGAGCCTAGTGCAGGCTCCAGCGCACAGACTGAGCTCATGACCTGAGCCGAAGCCAAGATTCCCAACGCTTAACCCAGTAAGCCACCAGGTGCCCTGAGTGCGCCCAGGGCTGGGAATTTTAAATTGGGTTGTTTATTCAGAAATCATCGGACTTGGTAGCATTTCCTTTTTATTTGTTTGTTACTGAAGGTTTGGGTGAAACCTCCTTGCCGTCGGCACAGCCCTGCAGGGGGGGGCGCTGTCCTGACCTGGAGCTGTTGCTGGTCCCCAGGCCTGTGCGTGGTTGTCTCCCATCCCGGGCTGACCGTAAAGGGACCATCGATCCACTGTGACAGTTTTCCCCTTGGCCATTAAAAGAAAAGAAAGAAACCGCCTAGTTGGTTTTATTGTACTTTACTGCGATCATGTGACGTTAGTCTCTGCTTTCCTTTATCACCATTCTTCCCACTCAGGGTCACGCACACCAGCATGGAAAGCAGTGAATGGTTTGAGATTCTTGAATTTTCTTGGGATCAACAGTTTCAATCCAGCATCAATATTATCACCCCAATTAGAGCTGCCTGGGGAACATTTTAAGAAGTCAAAATGTCTTATTTGCTCCGCTAATCCAGTGATGAACCAGGCACCCAGCCCGTGGGACGAACCAGCTTGCAGAGCGTTTCCATGCGATGCATTTTTGTTTTCTGGTTTCCTTCCTTGTCTGAGCAGTGCGGGATGTGCCCCTCTAATTTCTGGCAGACCTGCCTGTTTTGGGGACCTTGTCCTTCCTGGAAAACAGTAGTGCAGGAAATGGTTATGTGTGTTCGACTGGGCTCATCCAGCAACGAAGTTCTTGTTGGTTCGACTTCCGGATTGAGCGGAGACTTGTCCGTGGAGAGTGGGAGTGTGTGGAAGGGCGGGGGTGGCCGTGGAGGCAGGGCAGCCAAGCAGGGTGCTGTTGAACCAGAAGCATCGCCTGTATCCATCTCCGGAACCCCGACTGAAGGTGCTGTTTGATGTCGGTGCTTTTGCACATGAGACACTCAGGATTTGCATCACGGGAACTGGAGGCTTCATCTATCTGCTTAGTAAGCTCTCCGGTTTGTCATTCCTTGGGGAAGCCAAGTCATCCGTCACGGGGTCACCCCAGGTGTCGTCTGTGGGTTTTTCTGAAGATGCCTAGCTATCTTGGAAGGGCTGCAGTCTCTCATCCAGCGTCTGGGTGGTAGCGGCAGCCGTGACACACACCAGCATGTTGCCGCTGCCACCGTGACGTCTGGGGCCGATCCCAGACGTGGCACGGTTTGAATCCTGGTGACGGACTGCTTGCAAGTAAAGTAAATCTCCTTCTTGGGTTGGTGTGTATCAATTTAAGAATAGTAGGAAGTAGTGATCCTGTGCTTATTTTTTTGTTTTATTTTGTGTGTTAAAACAGAAGTTTCTACAGGAAGTGACAGCAAGCAGAGCGTGGCATGTTCCTCTGAATGCCTGAGAGCTCTTAACAGTAAATACTGCCCGATGGACGCTTAGTGTGCTCCGAATTGTGCAGTAGTAGACTTCCAAAATCTTGGTCTTTAGCTGGATCGCAGAGATTTCTGAGGCTTTATATTCAGTTGTGAAAGTGATTCTGGAGGTGAAATTTAAGACTTGTTCTTCCCTGCCCATGAGACCCGAAAGCATTGGCCTCTTCTTTGGTAGTGACTGGCCATTCTGCCTTCCCACTTCCTGCTCCGGCACACGCAGTGTTGAGACCCTCGGGGCAGTCTCTTTGTTTCCGGGGCCCTCAGGAGCTGTGCAGCTCTGATGGCTGCAAGCGCAGGAATAAATGCATCCTTTAGACCTCTTTCCTCTGCGGTGCTGTTTTCGGCTGCCCGCCCTCTCTGGCTGAGCCCAGGGCCTTGCCACGGGACTGCTGCTTCCTGTCCCAAGTGGCAAAATTGCTTTGATGCTGACGGATCGCCCCGTTCCAGGGGTTTGTCTTCGGCATTCGGTGTTATGGAGGTGATATGGGTGAAACTGGCCAAGCTTTCAAACGGGCCGGGTCTGGGCTCTTAAGAAAGCCCCGGTGGCCTGCTCTTTCGGAACTGTGATGTTTGATGCTATGTCGGCATCACGATTTGGTGTCTGGTGTTGGCTGGGTTGTTTCTCCTTTTTCTGCGGTTGCAGAACAGCTGTGGCTTCATTAGAGCGGGCCTGGTGGGCCTTTGTGGTCCTGTCTTTGGTCTGCTCGGGAGCATCCTGGCTCTTCACTGCCCAGGTGACAGCCGTGGGTTCCTGGGCCTCCGCCAGTCGCCGTGGTCTGGTCCTGTCCCATGTTGCTCCTCTGAGTCTGGCTTCTGGGCGGCACTGCCTAGGAAACCCTACACCCCTCCAGGCACGCCTCTGTCAGAGGCTGCTTCTTCCGTGTGGTTTTCCCTGATCTCTATCCTGTAACCTCAGCTGGCCTGGAACATTCCCCTCTTCTGAATTCCCATGGCACGTCCATAGCGATTCCTCCTGCCACGCCTCCTCGTCACTGCTGGGCACGAACAGTCTCTCTCCTAACAGGCAGGCTGGCCCTGGAGGGGCTCCTTCCGCCTCCTGTGGCTTTTCAGAGCCAGCATCCTGTGCCCCAGAAGGGTGCTGAGTGGGCCAGTGCGTGTCCACTTGCAACTGGCTGGACTTTGTACCGTTTCCCGAAGAACTGTTTCTATCCACTGATACTTCATGTGCTGGAAATCATGTCTTTGGGGGTCCCTCTGTCTGGGCTCATCATCCAACCTTGTGGTCCATAGACCATCAGCTTAGCCCCCATCTCTCAGCTGTTTTGGTCCAGAATGTTCACCAACAAACAGAAATGGCTGCCGTGGGAACTTAGTTCAAAGTATGCGACTGAATTTGAGTCCAATTTTTTGTTGAACCCTGAATGAAACCAAATCTTTGGAAGTTTTCTTACTTTGAAGAAAAAGTTAATGGGCTGCATTTAGATGAAGACCTGAAATTATTCCTGTTAATTCTTAAATTAGAAAATCTAAAGAATTTCTCAGAACTGAACCAAGCCAGAATGAAAGGGTGGGATGGGGCAGGGGGTGATCCCGAGCCCCGGAGGAGCCCCCCACCCCCCACGCCTTCTCTAAACATATGGTTACAACCCTCCGGCCTGTTTCCCCAGGGTGAGGAGTCTACCTGGAGCTTGCTAATCTTCGCGATGGCTGCACAGGTAGTCTGTGAGAGATGAAAGCTTGTGTACAGTCTGGCTTCACCTCCTAGCTGGTCTGGAAGGACCAGACCCCTGGAGTGCCTCATTGTGTGGAGAGCCAGGCGTGGCCGCGGTTGGCGGTCTGAGCCCTCTCTGCCCAGCCAGTCCTGGTCTTGGGCCTTCACCCCCTTCCCGTCTCCCCAAGAGGCAGGTGGCGCTGACGGTGACTTCCAAGGTCAGAAGACTCCGGTTTCCCCCATTGGGTTGTCCTAAAGCTTGTGGAAGGAACTTTGTACCTTCATAGGAAAACAGTCCATTGCTCATACTAATGCATTATTTTCTCTTCTAGTTAAAATGTGCACAGTACTGGCCACAAAAAGAAGAAAAAGAAATGATCTTTGAAGACACACATTTGAAACTAACCTTGATCTCTGAGGATATTAAGTCGTATTACACAGTACGGCAGCTAGAATTGGAAAATCTTACGGTGAGTCACGGCCTGTTCTTCTGTACTTCCAGCGGGCTCTGGCTGAGAGGTCTTTTCACCCAGGTCGTACTACCTAACCCCGGTTGTTCTGGGCTTTGTATACACTGAACAAGGTGTGGTCTTTGCACTGGGCTAAGCAGAACTTTCCTGCTTAAGTGTCGGGTGACCAGAGGGTCCTTAGGCCCCTCCCGCTCCACAAAGCTCCCTCCCTAAACTGGAACATTAGTCCATTCCAGTTTTTAGGGAAAGGGAAGCTTCTCCCCTAAAGCTTCTCTGTTCCTGTCTGCAACTGCAGAGGGACCGAAGTGGTGGCCTGCCCATTACGCAGCAGCCACTGCCTCTTCTGTCTTCCGCGGTCTCATTAGCGTGGAGTGAGGGAAGAAGGGCCCTGCTGGGGCAGAGTTCATGGTCACTGAGGTCTTAGGTTTCTTCGTTGTGGAAGGGTTTCTAGCACCAGCTTCTGACTGTCATCGAAAGCTGCTCTTGAAACGGGTCAGGGCACGTGCTGAGAAGCAGTGCCGCAGGAGGCCGGCCTGGGGACTCAATAGTGTGGTGGGAGCACTCGCTGTGGGGCCCCTTCCGGGACTTGCGACAGCTCCTGGGGACACCCTCAGCCATGGCCAGGGTCCCTTCTGGGACCTAACTGTGGGGTGGATTCCTGGCCCCACCGATCACACTGTCAGACTTCGGGGGGCCCTGTCATGTCCCCCAGTGTCTCAATTTCCCCTCTGTTCAGGTGGGGGCCTTGTAAGGGTTCAGAGGGTGACGTGTGGGAAGTGGTAGAGCAGCACGGGGCTGGGAGCAGATGCCGGGAAGGGGTCGCAGGTCCCGTGGGGTCAAGGTGACGGGATTAGCCCGGGAGCCGCGCACACCCGCAGACCGAGGGGAAGGAGGGTCGGGCTTGCCGTGCTGCCCTGCGGCGCAAGTCCGCCCCGAGGTGCACGCACCTGCCCGGGTTGAGCTTCCTGCCTTCTGGTCCACACGACTCCCCTTGTTGAACTACCAGTTGAAGTAAGATCTAGAACTTTCCATGGGTTACCTGGGAGCAGAGGCCCTCGCCAGCACAGCAGTGCGCTTCCTGAGCGCTGTGTCCTCTGTGTGTGACGGCCTCTGCAGGCCACAGGCCACACACGCGGGCCCCGGGCTGTGATTTATGGAGGGTTTGACGGGGGTATTCAGGAGTAACGCCGGCAGCGTGGCGGAATGCGCTCGGAGGATTACGTGGGAGACTTTCTGCGTGCTCTGTAAACTTGCGAGCCTCACAAGAAGCGTGCCTTCTGGTAAACTCTGAGAAAGTGTCTCTGGCTCGTGGAGGGAGACGGAATTCCAACAGAGCAGACGAGGTCCGAGCTGTTTGCTGGCGGAACCCAGGCCACAGTGTGGAGATTTTGATGCTGGGAGAGCTGCTGGCTCTAACGCACTTTGTGCTGAAGCACCCTGCTCTCCGATGCACATCTGCAGGCACAGGTCTACACGGGATCCTCAGAGGTGGCAGGGGTGAGGGTGGGGAAGACCGAAGATAACCCGGACCCTTTCAAGGATTAAAAGAAAGAACTTGTTTCGCTATATTTTCTTTTTTTTTTTTTCCATTTTTAAGTCTATTTTTAAGTGTTTTTCTCTCCATAAAAAATAGAAAGGGCATTTCTCACTTGAAGCCATCCAAGGAGACCATTTTCTTGGGAGGAAAGAGTGACCTTGCTTAGTGTGGGCTGTGAGTTCTCGTAATGTCATCCGCAGATTCTCCTGGCTCAGCAGCAGGACGCCCATGTGCAGGGCTGGTGCAGGGCTACGTACTCCTGTTCGTTGCTCATGTGAGGTTATCGGTGTTTTCCGTGGGCTCCTTCCCACGTTCTCATCACACTGAGCCCCGGGCAGGCTGTTGGCTCTGGGAGGGCGAGGACGGTGTCTTTCCCGCATGCCTGGCACGGTGGCCGGCACGTGGCAGGCACTTGGGGATATTTTGTTCAGTGAAGAGAGGCAGTGTTGGTGTGGCCCAGAGCGTTTGCCAGCAGCTGCTCTCCAGGTGACCTGGGCACCTGGGTGGCCCTTGCCACCGCGCAGCAGAGAGGTGGACGCTCAAGGCCGCCTCGTTCCTGTCTGCACGCCTTCTTCCTGTGCCCACGTCAGCGAGGCCGGCGGCTTACCTCCCTCCAGGGTGTGCCCTTAGCTGAGCAAGATCCCGAGTGCTCTCCTCCCAGTGAGAACTACATTTTGACCATTTCTGCCAGGGACCAGGTGTCCACCCTGGCGTGGACTCTTCGCGGGTTCAGAAGAAGGAGCAGAGCAGGCTCCGGCACCGGAGGCCATTCTTCGTTCTGTTGCACTGGGAGCAGACGGGACCGGGGAGAAACATTTGGGGGCAAGGGCCAGCGCCTTCATTTCAAAAGTTCCGGAAGCAGGCTCTGAACACGGGTTCTGGAGCCCAGTAGGCTTAGATTTAAACTCCCGCTTGCTAACTTAATGGAGGGTCAGCCTCCGAGCCTCAGTCTCCTAATCAAGAAAATGGAATAATGAGCATACACGCCTCGAAGGGTTAATGTGAGAGTTCCGTGAGCTGGTGTGTCTGGCATTAGAACCCAGTGGGGCCAGTGGTGGCTGGTGGTGTCGGTCGACACCGTCCTCCTCAGCTGGGCCATCAAGCCGCACATGGCGGCCGCTGATCCTCGGAGACCGAGTTGGTTACTTTTTTCTCCAAAACGGCAGTCCTCTGAGACTCCCGAATAGTCGTGTGAAGCCTGGATTACCCAGAGCTGGCGCCACACACACGCAGTTAGATTTTTACTCTCACGTGGGAAACCTTACGGTGCTTGAGGACAGGACAGCCGTGGGCGGCCACGCAGCGTCATTGCGCCTTGTGGGCGGAGAGCTCGCTTGTAACCGCAACGACAGCAGGGGTGAGGGGGCACCTGAGGAGAACGTGGGCGGGAATGTTCCATGCTGAAGGGAGGGCAGGGGTGGCAGGGCAGCAGGTCCAGTGTCAGGCACCTCAGAGTTTGGTATTTGCTGACGGGGCGAGCGGACGGGAGGAAATCTGGAAATGTGAGGTGAAGCTGCTCTTAGAGTTCGATGGGGGAGTGGGGGTGGCGCTTCGTGCCTACTTGGAAGCAGTGATTGCTGTACAGATGATTCTTTTAGAAACGGCACGAGGTGGTGTTTTTGTTTCTGTTTCTTTTCAGTCTCAAGAAACTCGAGAGATCTTACATTTCCACTATACCACGTGGCCTGACTTTGGCGTCCCCGAATCACCAGCTTCGTTCCTGAACTTTCTTTTCAAAGTCCGCGAGTCGGGGTCGCTCAGCACGGAGCACGGCCCCATCGTGGTGCACTGTAGTGCCGGCATCGGCAGGTCGGGGACCTTCTGTCTGGCTGACACCTGCCTTCTGCTGGTAAGACCCGGAGACGCGGGAAGCGAAGGGAACCTATTCCAGCGTGTCCATTGGCCATCCGTGGCTTCTCTGTCACACCGTGTCTGCAGTGAGCTGGCCAGCATCTTCCATTTTTGATGCTTTCCTCCATGAAAGTATGTCTACTCTAAGTAGCTTTGTTCGGAGGGATATTCCTCAGTTGAATCGCAGAATCAAGGAAGCTCCAAAAAATGCCCTTCTCTCATTCTTTCCCCTGTGCTCTAGGCCCCTGTTTTGCTGCATTTTCTCACATTTTCCACAGTTCCGCCTGCCCACTGTGATTTTTCCTGAGTAGAGACCTCCAGAACATGGAAAAATCACATTGTACTTGGGAGTTGGAGCCGGCTCAGTGTGTCTTCTCTCTGGCTTTCAGATGGACAAGAGGAAAGATCCTTCTTCTGTCGATATCAAGAAAGTTCTGTTAGAAATGAGGAAATTTCGGATGGGACTGATCCAGACAGCAGACCAGCTCCGCTTCTCCTACCTGGCTGTGATCGAAGGTGCCAGATTCATCATGGGGGACTCTTCGGTGCAGGTAGGCGCGGCTTCCGCTGTCGTCCAGGTGCGTTGGTGTTGAATTTTTGTCTGATGAAGGAGGCTATTGGCTGTAAAAGTTGAAACACTGGCGTGTGTCAGAAGAAATAGCCGTCCTTCGTGCTTAAGTAGCCGTAAAGCTGTGCAAACGTTCACCACGTTCCCCTTCCTACCTTTGACGTGCTGAATAGAGAACATTGACAGGGAGAGTAGACTTTATTTCCCAAAGATTTCAGCTTCCACGTATAAATACGTCTGCAGCCCCTGGAAGCAGAGAGAGCCCCGTGCCTCTGGTCACCTGACGGGAAGCAGATTTCCTGGCGCTTCAGCCCGGCGTGAATACTAGTGGGACCTTCTCTTGCTACTTCTCCAGGAGCAGTGGAAGGAGCTCTCCCACGAGGACCTGGAGCCCCCGCCCGAACACGTCCCCCCTCCTCCCCGGCCGCCCAAACGAGTCTTGGAGCCACACAATGGGAAGTGCAAGGAATTCTTTCCAAACCACCAGTGGGTAAAGGACGAAACCGGGGAGGATAAAGAAGACTGCCCCATCAAGGAAGAAACCAGAACCCCCTCAAACGTCGCTTGCAGCGGGGAAAGGTGAGGCAAGGGGGGGCCTGGCTTCCTAGGGGTGAGGGGATATGACCTTCCAATTCAGAAACACGTGTTGATATTGAAGCTCTGTGGACACAGCCTCTTCTTGGCAAACATTGCTTCTGTGTCTTTGGGGAATGAGGCCCCAGGGACAGGCAGCCACAGGCTGGTCCAGCCAAGTGACCCACTTCGGCGGGGCTTTAGCACCACCTTGTGGCACCCATTGGAATCAGGGATTCACGCCACCGAGTCCTGCTTGGAAATGACCTTGCCCCCCTCCCTCAGGCTTCCAGCCAGTCCTGAAATGTGATATCCAGGTTAGACTGTATACGTTCAGCCCCCACAATGGTTCTTCTGGAAGTTTAACCTTCTCGTGTAGCCTTGATGAACTTAATGCCATTTAGTTAAGATTTATTGAGTACCTACTGACACACATGAGATCCTCAGATGACCAGAACTTGGCCCCCGGTCTGTGTTCGAGACAATCCCTTGGGGATGGAGACAGTAGGTTACGGTTGAGAGCCTGGGGACGGTAAAGAGATGGCGCACATGCCGCAGTGCTCAGCCTGCCCGGGCACTCAGGCTGCCCGCACGAGGGTTGGAAGCTCGGAGAACGATGGGGAGTCAGCCTGAGCCAGAGGCTCTGGAGTTTCTTGGATGAGGGCGTGCTGTGCCCCAGCGTCTGTCCACATCTAGAAATTCAGGGCGTAGAGACAGTTCGCAGACAGGTGTGCAAGAGATACACAGGGGAGGTGTTGGTTGTGGCGTCATCTGCAATGGTGAGAAATTAGAGGTGAGCTGATTATATGCCCAGGGGTTTGGTGAAGCGTGCTTTCTCCTACCTTGGGATGCTGTAGAGCTGTCAGAGGGCAGGGTTGGGAATTCCACTCCAGAAGAGGTTGTACGTGCTTGGGTGCCCCACTTCTCTCTGGCTACATCGATCGTCAGAATCTTACCTGGGGCTCTTGCCAAATGCTGATTGCCAGGCCCCAAGCCTGACCCAGGAAGCTGAGTCACCAGGTTCCTCTGTCACGACAACATCACACCTGGTTCCTTGAGAAAGGCCTGTCCAGTGGGGCCTCCCCAAGCAGGCCCATGTGGGACACGGAGCAGTAGCTCGGTGACGGTCCCCAGGGAGACGGTGCCTAGCTTCCGGGGGCCTCTGGTGACGTGCTCCATCTAAAGGCCTGCTGAGAGCGAGGGTGAGGGAGGAGAGAGCCGGCACGTGGCTGGCATCCGGTTTGTCAGAAGACTGGGGCGGGGTGCTGCCTTTCGCACCATGTGTGTGAAGGTGGGAAGGAGGGGAGTGTGGGTCTGGGACGCTAAAAGCCGTGCGACCCCAGGAAACCGCGCAGCTGTGCCAAGAGTGTAAGTGCCTCCGGACACCGGTGTGCACACGGCCTCGGCCCTGCTGTCAGGGGCGGCTGTGCGCCAAAACCCTTGTCCTGTCTCCTGGGAAGGTGGTACCTGGGGTGGGGGGGGGTCCCACCAGCCACACGCGGTGCTGCCCAGGTAGAAAGGCTGTGGGGTGGCATGTGAGAGGCAGGACGCCCTGTGCTCAGGGTCTCTTTGAGGGGGGTGAGGGTGGAGGAACGGGGAGGGCCTGGGGGAAGTGGCGAGGAGAGGAAGGGCCTCTGCTGGCCCCTCCCGAGACCACCCCGGAGCGAGAACACTGTGCACGTCGTCCCCACGGGGCGGGGTCTCTGGCTCCCCACCAGGAGGGCAGCCGGGGTCCTGGAGGGATTGGGGTGATGCTGGGGGACCTGAGCCTGGGACGTGGGCTGAGGGGCAGAGGGACGGGTGGTGTCCTCACGTCAGCGGCAACAAAGGCACCTGGGGAGGGGGCCGGGGTGGGGTGGTACTGTGTGGGCCCCACCATCACCTTCCGTGATCTGAAGGGGAACGTTCTCCAAGCAAACCCCGGGACAAACAAGCACCTGTGTTTGCAGCAGTGGCTGTGTTTCTCCTTGGAGTCTTACCCACCCGTCACTGTGGAGGCTGCCCGGGTCTCAGGGGGGGAGACTGTGGGGGTGCCAAGTGGGCTGCAGGCCAGTGTCCCCATTGCCAAGCTCTCTTTACACATGGCTCGTTTTTTCGTAGAATTCCAGCTGTAACAGTAGCGTCTCAGGCATTGTTTACCCTCGAGTGAGTAACCATGTCCGTCCCTGTTCTCCCTCAGCACCCGTCCAGACACTGAAGTCCGAAGGCGGGTCACAGGGGCAGGTCCTGCCCAGGGGGAGCCATCACCGCCCAAGGAGGAGCAGCACCAGGCGCTGGCGCTCTGGAAGCCATTCCTGGTCAACATGTGCATGGCCACAGTCCTCACGGCCGGCGCGTACCTCTGCTACAGGGTATGTTTCCACTGACGGACGTGCCGGCAAGACCGCATGTGCAGAAAGCCCGGCGTCCGCAGTCCGTGCTGCGGGAGCATCTGAGCCAGTCTCAGAAGAAACAGAACAAAGGTTTTTAAAGTCTGGAACTGTGAAGGGCTAACGAGAGGATTGAGGATTGATGCACTGGGGTTTTAAGGAGCCCTGTGGTCCCAAGAATATAAGAGTCTAATCTCAGGGCCTTAACCTATTCAGGAGTAAGTAGAGAAAATGCCAAATATGTGTCTCTCTCTTTCTCTTTTTCTCTCTCTTTTTTTTTTGTTATTGTTATTTGTTTTTGAAAAAAAATAATAGAGTTACAACACATTGTTGTTTTTAACCTTTATAAAAAGCAGCTTTTGTTATTTCTGGGGAAAAAAAAAAAAGACTAGGCACTTATGAAACTTTCTTGTACCCTTAGGTGGTGTAACCAGATACACAGTTGATATTTGATTTCCCAGGGAAAGTCTCCCACACTTTTCCGAATGTAAACTCCTTTGGAGAAGAGGGTTTAAGGGTTCAGGGCACCGTCCTGCTCAGTCACTTCCGCTGTGCGCATGCTGAGCTTGGACAGTGCCCGCAAGCTTTCCTGTTTTAAGAAGAAAAACCAACGAAAGGCCATCTCCGGAAAACAAAACCCAGCTTCTGCTTTTGCTCAGGGTGTCCCCACCAGTTTCCCATTGTTCATTTCTCCATCAATCCCTTCTTGTTCCAGCCACCTGGGTCATGCCCCGACCTCACCACTACCCCCCCCCCCCCCCCCCCCCCCCCCCCCGCAGACGGGGTTCCTCGAGGCCCATGCCTCAGGGTCAGAGGTCACAGCAGGGTGGCCATCAGCTTTGCACCCTGCCGTTGAGATCCGGAAAGAGCAATTTCCGCTTCCTTCGGAATACAAAGTGCGGGGAGGAGTGAGGATTAGCCTCGAAACACTGCTCCTCTATTCTCTCTTTCCCGGCCACCATCTCGGAGTCCGTCAGGTGGTTTAGCAGCATGCAAACAATTCTTTTCCTTAGGGATGATTTTGGGAAGGGGGCTGTTGTAGAAGAAAATGTAAACCCCTTCCCTGGAGGTTGGGGTGGGGGGAGGCGTGGGGGTCCGGGGGTAGTGCAGGGCTCTGTGGCTCTGGGAAAGGCCGGGGGGGGGGGCTCATCTGAAAATGTTTGGTTTCATTCCAGTTCCTGTTCAGCAGCAGCACATAATGTCCTCCACCTCCACCCCCCCTGTCCGCCTCCATGCAGAGCACCCGCCTAGCAGGCACGCCGTGGTAGGTAAGGGCCGAGGACAGCGTAGCCGGCCGTGACCTGGACGCACGTCGTCCTGCATTAAAACCACCCTCCCCAGACTTACTCCTTTTGACGTTGCCCCCCCCTCTTTCCTTTGAGCAGCAAATCCGTAACCCGTTTTTTTGGAGGAGAACAGAGGACAGTGCAGTGCTGGGGGCCGGTACAAGTCTCAGGGCTCGCCCTGTCCAGTGGGCACTCGGCCCGGCCGGGTGGGCAGCGCACTGTCCGAGCACCTCCACGGAGACTCCACTCCATATTTATTGTTTTGTTTTTTTCCCCCAAAGGCGTCCGTAGTGCACTAGCATTTTCTTAAACCAATAACGTATTAAAAACTTTTGATGTCAGCCTTGCATCAAGGGCTTTATCAAAAAGTACAATAAGAAACCCTCAGGTAGTGCTGGGAACATAAGACCTTGCCATGAGGCTGCTGCGCCTGACCAGTGCGAGGAAGGAGGACGGGTATACGCAGTCGTGTCTCGCGGCATCGTGGGTAACGTGAGAAGAGGCTTGGCATATGTTTATGGAACGTGGGATAAAATATAACGAACACTTGGATATTTAAGAGACGTGACGGGAGATTACTCTGTCCCGGTCCCCCCCCCCCGCCCCCGTATCCGCTAGAACCTTGTTCTCATCACTGCTTCCCCGTGTGTATTGGAACGCATGCGGTCTTCCTGTGCCCTGATCCCATACCATGTGCTTGAAATACTTCGCTCTCGGCCTGTTAACGTGCCTCATGTACAAGTCCAGTGTACCTTTGCATGACCCCATCATTACATGGCTGTTGCTGGAATAATCGCCATTCGGCACTGGGGTGATGTTTTCCAGTAACAGATACTTGTCTGATTCCTGGCATGACACTCTGGTGACTTCCTGGTGAGGCCCCGGCCTGTCCTCGGCCAGCTGGGTCCCACTAACTCAGACATTCCAAGGGTATGGGAAGCCATAGTCAACACCTCACGCTCTGGACATTTAGGCACGCAGGATCGCCCCCAACCCCCCCGACACCTTGGGGATCAGCCTCCCTTGTCGGAAGTTGACGCTCTCCTCGAGCAGACCACGATTCGGAACCAAGGCAACTGCTGGAAACCGCCCTTCCTGAAGCGACCTGGGTGTCAGGCCCCCGGAGGCCGCCTGCTGCCGTCCCGGTCCAGGGAGCCACGTCTGCCCCCGCCCTCGAACCCTGGGGACTGATGGTGCTCACGACTCTTCCTGCAAGGGAACTTAAGACCTCCACATTAAGTGGCTTTTTTAAATACGAAGAAAACAAAACAAAACAAATCCAGGCAGCTGTAGCTCATGGGCTGCTCTTTCGCCAGCATTTTCACGTGTTGCCTTTCACGTGTTGGAAGCCCGTGCAGAGAAACTGGTGGGAACATTTCGAGGCACCGCTGCGCAGAGCCTTGATGAGGTGTGGGTGAGGCTAGACGCCAGGCCGTTGGCAGTTTTGAGTTGGGCTTGTGTGTTTGCTCCCGAAGTCCTATTACGTGTGTAGTAGTTTGGGTGTGTACATATAGTAGCATTTCAACTTGGACATACTGGTTTAACCTCTATCTTCGGAAAACAGATGGCGCTCCATCCTGTTACACATGCGTTAGAGAAGTAGCGAGCTGCTCTGCTATATGCCTTAAGTCAATATTTACTCATCAGGTCATTATTTTTTACAATGGCCGTGGAATTAAACCATTTGTACGAAAATAAAAACAAAAAACAAAAAAGCGAAGTGTTTCGGTATAATACCTTTCTAGGTGCGTGTTTCCATGGATGCCTGACGGGGGGCGGGAGGGGGCGCGTCTCAGGGTCTCTGTGGCCTCACAGAACTGGCGAACTGTACAGTTTTCCAACTTGCCATACACGTGATAGGTTTGCATTTTAGTTGCAACAATAAATTTGTTTTCCTAAAGAACACAATTTGGGGTGCCTCCCCTGCCTTTCTTTAAGGGGCCCTCATGAGGCAGGACGGGTGCCTCCTGTTTCTCTCCGCTGCCGCCCACGGGGAGCAGGTGCCTTCGGTCGGGTGTCCAGGGGTCACCGCGGCCTCCTGGGGTTGCGCGCGCCTTTGGGCTGGGGGGACGCCCCCTTCCTGGTGAGGTTATTTGATCTTCGGGCCTCAGCCTGGCCTCCTCGACGCTGACACTGCCCACCTTCTGAAGGGGCAGTGCCCTCGGCTGCCTTGGCAGACGGGCACAGGATCTGCTCGCTCACGCGTGTGGAGCCACAGTGGCCACCGCTTCCAGCACCTCTGGCGAGCCACGCATGACGGACAGGTGACGTAGAAGCTACAAGATGGCAGACTCCTGTAGTCTGCCTCTGTACCCGTTAACTCTCTTCAAGTGACCTGGTGACTTGCTGCTGTTAGGAAGTAACTTCAGATTTGTAAAATGTTGCAAAAATCACACAAAGAACTCCCTTCTATCTTTCAGGGTTTTATGATGAGACGCCAGCTGCTGAGTAACTCCCAGCACGATCCACGGGGCCAGGGGGGTAAGCACGACTGTGGCCATGCGGCCCGCAGCCCACCCACAGAGCACTGTGGCCCCAGGACCATGGGTGACACCCACTGTCACCTCAGTCTGTGTTTCAGACACAAAACTGGCACGAAGCTCATGAAGAGAATGTGCCCGTGTGGGAAAAAGAGCTGAGCCTGTAACTTTGGTGCAGACATTGGATGAGGCCAAAGGCCAGATGAGGAAGGGCCGCGCGGCTCGGTGTCCGTGTGGGAGCAGGTGCTCAGGGATCCTTCAGCCGGCGCGGGGGACACAGGGGGTCCCAGCCCTCGCTTCCCTCCTCCCCTGCTTGTGTGGGAGAGCGCGGCCCACGGCGCTGCGTGTGGGACACGCGGGGCCGCTCTTCCCCTCCCCACAAGGTTTGCTGAAACACCCACTGCTTTCTGCTGTGTTCAGGTAAGTGAAACACCGGGGAAAGTCGTTTTAATTGAAAACTGAACATAGGAACGAGGCAAATAAATACGAAGTTAAACCGAAAAGCACAGAATATATACAGGAAGTTTACATGAGAAGGTTGAAGTTCCAGAATCCCCAGTACCATTGTCAGGAGTTACACACCCCACGTTGTCTCTGCAGCTTGACACGAAAATGGTTCAGGACACACAGACGTGAGGGTTTTTTTTAACACGCTTAAGTAAGAAACAAATCTTTCTTTAAACACATTCTGCAGTGAAATCCTTCTTCAGACCAGCTGATGGCTTCTGACACAACTTACTTGAGTGGCCTTAAGGTGACTGGCATTCCCAAGTTTGATTCCACTTGGATTAGTGAGGTCACAGTGAGCGCGTCTCCTGACCTGACACAAGCTTTCCTGGCCAATGGCAGGTTCTCAGTGCTGCTGAGCACAGTAGAGATCAGGCTTGTGGTGTGCAGGCCGCCGCCAGGCCCCATGCTGGCATTTGGGCTACCGCTCAGGCTAAGTGTGACGCGTGGCACCGCTGGCGGCCTGTCTCCCCGCCTTCCCCGGCTTGCCCAGGGGACCGCTTGCTGCCGTGGAAATGACCCTCCGCGTTCTCAGCAAGGTCAGTCTGCCTGCTTTGGCCTCCTCACTCCCGAGCTGTATTGAATCAGAAGTGCCGAGCAGGCCGACCCGCAGGGAGACCTATTCCAGGCCCCAACCTGCCTGGCCTTGGCCCCTTGAGAGTGCGGCTGGCCTGGGAGGGTCGGACAGGTTCTCAAAACCTGAAGCTGGTCGTCGGATTAAAGTCCGCCAGTCTTCAAAGTGCTGTGCATCCGTTTCCCTGCTCCTGTGCGGAAAGCCTCATGTGCCCCTGGGCTGTGTAACTGGTCTGGAGACTGAGGGACCAGCTCCGGGCAGCTCACACAGTGGGGAGCACGCCGCGTACCCGACCCAGAGCTCGGGCCCTGTGTCAGGGCTGAGCAGCAGCAAAAACAAAAGATGCCAGGTTTGAGCTCATCGGCTGGGGCTTCTTAAAATACAGTGATTTCAATATCCGCTTCCTGGCAAAAGGCATCTCCTCTTGGTTCCAAGTAGAGTTTGTCCATCTTCTCGAAAGCTAAGCGTCCTTTCTCACCTGAAATACCAAGGTAATCTGTCACTGGTTTGTCCCCCACCTCAGTGTTCCTGCTCCGGTGAACCCAGATGGCCCTCAGGCTTACTGGCGCCTGGGTCTCAGGTGGTGCTGTGAGCGCAGGGGGGGGCAGCGTTTGGGGAGCTCCTCCCGCCCTCACGTGGACCCAGTGGCCCTCCCTTATGTTCAAGACAGAATTTGCTGAGCTTTATTCCTGCCTTGCACCTGGCTTCCACCCCCCCAAGGATCATAAACTGAAGGTTAAGACAGAAATAAAGCACTTCTTGCCACCTCAACCGTGAAGGAAACCTGTCTTGGCCAAATGCAGTTAAACGGGTCACTGAGCGCGCCCAGCCTGTGTGCCATCTTGGAAGGCTGGCCCTGGACCCTCTCACGCAACCTTCCCAAGGTCGCCTGGAACCCCATCCGATGCTGTACTTTACCGAACGACAGCGTGGCTTCCCGGGCTGCTGTTCGCACGGCCTCCAGGTCAGACTGGCACAGGCTGGCGATCTGGTCGATGCTCTCAATCCCCTGTTTGAGGTGAGGGCAAAGAGCATCCATCGGGACGTTTTAAGTAGCAGGTGGAACCTTCTTTTACAGGCTCCGTAAGACCAGCCCTAGCAGGCATGGTCTTTAGGGCCTCAGGCCCTTCCTTTTGGCTTCCAGGTTTCTTACGTGGCCTGAGTTCATGGGAAGTGCCTCACCCTTTCAATCCTGACACCTGCCTGTGAGCCAGGCCATTAGCAGAGCTTTATGGACAGCTTCCTTCTAGAAGGTCTGTCTTGAAAATGGGAAGACCTGCTTCCCTCTGGACCCACCCTACCCTCTTGGGTGGACCATGAGAGCATCATTCGGGGCCCAGGTTTGGGCACAGCTGACCTTGGCTGTTCGCCAAGGCCCAGAGTCCACTTCAGCCGCCTCTGTAGGGCACCCTTTCTCCCTTGCTGGCTGTTTGATTACAACCAGATGGACCTCCTGGAACCCCTCCCCCGCCTTTTTTTTAGTTCAGAATGAATTGGGTGAGTTTAATCTATTTTTCATCTAGCAAATTGGCAACGGTTTTTTAAAATGAGAGTTCCAGATGCAGGTGAGTTTGAGGCAAGATGGACATCCTCACATCTGCTTTTAGGGCTGTAAGTGAGTGAGTTGTACCAGGAGTCTCCACAAGTTTCCTATTCCCTGGCCTGGAGTAACCTTTGGAGAGTCCAGCCTAAGAAAATAATGCAGAACTCTTATTTTTTAAAAGCGTTATGCACCAATGCACCAATGCTCATCAGGATATTATTTAGAGTAACATGTTAAAGCTCAATTTTCGACCACACGAGGAGGGAGGGATCCATTAAGGTAAAGCCTCGACGGCCCCTTCATAGAGACTTCTAAAGCACTGCCGGTCTAAGTTTGCGAGAGCAAGCACAAGTGGGGGAAGGGCAGAGAGGAGGAGGGACAGAAGCCGGATTCAGGGTTCCAACTCCACAAGCAGGGAGATCGTGACCTGAGCCGAGAGGCCTAACCGCGCCAGCCAGGCGCCCCTGACATGATCAACAATTTTAAATGCTCACACACACCCACAGAAGTATAGCAAAATGCCAGCAGTAATACTTCTGCTAAGTATTGGGGTGGCGGGTAACTTTTACATTGCTGAGTTTTACACTTTCCTGCAATGAGCTTACTACGCTTTTATTTTTTTATTTTATTTATTTTTTTTTAATGTCTTATTTATTTCTAGGAGAGAGAGAGAGGGAGTCACAGACTGAAACAGGCTCCAGGCTCCGAGCTGGCAGTCAGCACAGAGCCCAGCGCGGGTTTCGAACCCACGAACCGCGAGATCATGACCTAACCGAAAGTTGGACGCTTAACCGACTAAGCCACCCAGGCGCCCCTGCGCTCTTAGAAAATACTAAATCGAGGCTACTAAAACAGAATCCTAGGCCTCCACAGTGAGTCCTTAGGGCCACCTGCTTATTCAGGCCGAGCCGGAGCGGACACTCCTGACTACTGACGCCCCTCTGCTGGTAGAGTGACATCTGCTCTAAAACCAGCCCTTCGGGGCTTTATTGGCTGGTGGTAGTTGGTGGGGAGGGGGGGGTGGTCCCAGTGGAATAATTTTGAAATGAACTGACCGGAACGTTACCCACAAGCAGGCTTCTCTCCCTCACAGGCGAGGACAGGTTAGACTCACCCTGAGGTGTCTGAGCGCCACACACGCGGCCCGCTGGAGTTTTGCATCGTTCTCCGTCAGGGCGTTGGTATAGAAGAGCAGAGCCTGGAGAATAAGGTGGCTGTGAACGAGGCGCTGGCCGAAGCCAAGTCCACGCTCCTTGTGCTGGAGGGCTCCTCAAGCCCGACTTAACCTTTTTTCTAAACAAAAATCAGGCCATGATCTATTCGTCTCTGGGCCAAGCACACCCAGTCTCGATGTGTATGCTGCGGTGTTTGGTTTATCTCTAAAAACACTGGTCCCCGGGGTTAATGGTAATCAAAGTGAAAAAGCTCTTTTCGTCTGTCTTCCAAATCTAGGTAAAAGGCTACGTCAGAGCAATCCGAGGTCTGGCCAGGCCACTCGAAGAATTGGAGGTGCAGAGGGAGGCCAAAGCAAGGCCGCTGCCTGCGGCCTGAAGGCAGAGCACCTCTTCCCTTCAGTCCCGGTCCCGGGCCCCAGCGATGACCCCGCCCCTCAGCCACGTCCGCCAGGAAAGGGCTGGCATTGGCTTCACGAGATTGTACAGGCTAATTAGGAGCCGTGTGAGGAGGTACCCGGCCAGCGGGTGGCCCAAGGGACTATAGTCAGGCCTCGGTATTGCCTTCCTCCACCTCAGGGGCTGGTACCATCCATCTAGAATAGTCACAGGCCCAGGAACTTAAAAGGCAGAGGGGCCCAGTTTCTTGGTTTTCAAACGGACTGAACCCAGCGAACCCCCCCGCCACACAGAATACTTAAAAAGAAGATGGCCATCAGAGTCCTGAGAAAGAAACGCTCTACGTGCAAGCGACATCTCGGACCAAATGGGTATGTTGGTGTTGGAAGCACGGAGATGAGCGAGCTGGTAACACGTGAGGTTCTGTGGGTCCTTCGGGTGGCGGCCTAGCCACCCCAGCCCCGTGCGGCCCAGGCCCCCCCCAGGCCTGGTGTCTCCCAGCGTGGTGGCCTGAGGGACTGTGTGCACGGGCCACGGAAGCATCCCTAAACCTAAACATCCGGGGACACCTGGCTGGCTCGGTGGGGAGAGCAGGCGACTGGGCTGGAAGTTTGGGTGTAGAGATTACTTAGGTCAAATCTTTAAAAGACAAAACCTCTTGCAGCGAGCGCAGCGCCTTCGGAGCATCAGTCCCTTGCATGTTTCCGAGAGGAAGCCTGCGGACCCCCAGCTTTCACACGTGTAGCCGCGGGGCTGCCACCTCCCCTCCTCACACCAACGTACCTTTTCCCGAAAGCTCTTGTTCCGGGCCGCGCTGGCCAGGCGGGCGCTAGCCGCCCTGCACGCCCGGGGGGGCCCGTCAAGCTGCAGCAGCGCCCAGGCCCGTAACGTCTGGGGCAGGGGCTGGAGCCGGCCCAGCCGCTTCCCCCGCAGCTTCCGGACCGCCTTGAGCTGCCCCGCGCCCTGCAGCTCCTCGATGAGTGTCACTGGAAGAGAGGAGAGGGTCCCAGGGTCCCTCTGACTGCGGCTGGCAGTGCGGCTGCATGTCTGTTTGGCCACCAACATGCTCCTACCAGGGAAGCAAGGCCCGGGACTAGCCCCCGTGATCACCACGGCGCAGCCCAGGTCAGCTTCCCGGGGCGGGGGTGCTCCTGGAATCTCTAGGAAGGCTTTCTAGCAAGGGCTCGAATACAGCCTGAAAGTCAGCAAGACCTCAGCCCAGCCGCCGTCCCGTCCAGCCCTGACATGTGCCCTGTGCTTTGTAAAACCTCCTTCCCTCGGAGCTGATTTCCCTGCATGGCCCGAAAGTGCCGTCTCCTCAATCTGGGCTCTCGAAAGAACAGCCGCAGGGGAAGGACGCAGTGGTTCTACGAGACTGGCTTCCGCGGAGCCACGACAGAGGGTCCTTGGTTCTCACCGCCCCCTGCCAGCCCCTACCTTCCTTGGTGAGCTGGGCAAAGTGCTTCTCCAGGTCGGACACCCCCCGCCTCTGCAGGTAGCTGTGAAACTGGAACCAGGTGACTGTGTGCTCTGCGGGGAGCCCGGCTCCGGGGAGCAGCCCCCCACAGCTGACCACCTGCTCCAGGAGCCTCCGGCACGCTGGCAAAACAGAAGGCCGTGAGCATAGACCGGCCCCCGCGGGTCCTCTGCGCCGGGCGCGGCTGGGTCAGGTCAAGGGCATTCTAACGGCCTGCGGGCGGGTGTCCCTCACGGTGCCCCCCGTGCCCGAGAGAAGGAGCACGCTGGGCTGGGGTCTGCAGGCCCCACGTTTAGACGTTCTTGGGGCGCGCTCCGTGCCCTGGGCCGCGCCGGGGCTGGGAATGTTCGGGCTGGCAGAGCCTGGGAGGGGGGACGGCTGTCAGTTGTCAACAGAGAAAGTTGTCTGCTTTCTGTGGAAGAGTCCAGCGACCGCTTCACGGCACCTTTCTCCTGCTGACCTTTCTAGATTTGTTTTCTTAACCCCTTTAGGGTTCGGCTGGAAGCCGTGCGGTCCGTCCCCTGACAAACGTGCCACGTGGCTAACTTTTGCAGCTTCGGGGTTTCACAGACCCCTTGCTGCAGACCCCAGGTCCTGTCCCCAGGGAGAGGGGCGACTCCTAGCTGAGATGTGTCTTCCCTTTGGTGTCGCGAAGACAGCGCAGGTGAAGACAGGGCTGGAACCAGGCCCCGGGGGTGGGGTGGGGTGGGGAGGTTACCTATTTCCAGTTGCCCCGGGTATTTCCCCCGGACCCTGTGCAGGAACGCCTTCTTGAGCTGGTTCAGCAGCGTCGTGGCGGGACAGGACAGGACCCTGCCGGGCTCAGTGCACCCTCTCCACAGCTTCAGGCACCCCTTCCTCCGCGTGGCCTGGGGGACAACTGAGATCCCAGGTCAGGACCCGACTGATGTGGGGAGGGGCGAGCAACGAGGCGGCCCCAAGATTTCCTTCCACGGGGGCCCGAGAGGTCAGGGGAGACGGGGCTTCCCGCGGCTGCCCTTCCCGCACCCCAGCGTGACCCACCGAGGACCAGCAGCCTCAGCTGCGAACGTCTTCCCCAGGCCTACGGCCCTCACAGCTAGGACACCGGCCGCCACCGGCCTCTCCTTGTGGACAGGGGAGGCTCCGGCGGGGGGGGGGGGGGGGGGGGGGGGGCAGAGGCAGAACGGGGGTCGCAGCTACTGTTTATCTGAGATGCTTTGTGCCTTGAATGTGTCCTAGCGATTACACACTACCCAGTGGCCTCTCCTTTGCACAGACGGGAAGCTGAGGCTCAGAGAGGTGAATCATCTGCCAAGCATCACACCAAACCATCGCCAAGGCTAGGTGGCCTCCCTTCTGGAACCCACAGCGTGTGTGTGAGCGCAGCCCAGCCACCACCTCAACGCAGACCCTCTGAGCCCCACTTAATTTTGGACGTCAGGGCAGGAGATGAGCACTGCCACCCACACCCCCCAGCTTCAGAGCCCATCACACCATGCCGTTCACACAAGGACAGCCTGTGGGCGGGGGACAGTCACTTACTGTCTTCAATGGAGGCTGCCTTGCTGACCTTCTCAAAATCCAGCACAGAGAGCGTCTCCAGAACCTGTTTTTGCTGCACAGCTTCTTCCAGGAGGCACTCCTGGACCACCGTTGACAGACCCGGAGAGGCCAGTTTCTAGGAAGCAGCCCACAATGCTCCAGGTTAGTGCAGAATGCGCCCTCTGAGGTCGGCAGTCGGGGCCGTGGCTCCCACCTGCCCCCTGCCCCCCGCCCCCGGCTTTTCTGTCCTGATGGTAGCTCTCTGACTGCCATCTGGGGATGCCTGCTTGGCCAAGGTGGCGGAGACGACGGGAGGCAGGCTGTGGCTGCCGGGGGCCTCCTTTGCTATCAGAATGGGCCAACCTGCCTGAAAGTGAAACCAGCCAACACAGGAGAGCAGGGCTGAGACCCAGCCAGTTATGCTGTTATTTGAAATCCTGGATCCAGCTGGGCCTGAAGCCTACCCCAGGGCCTTTCAATTCTGTAATCCCAAATGTTCCCTCTGGTTGAGCCAGTTTGGATTGCAGCCCTGGCAGCTGCCGCAGAGAGCTGCAGCCACGGCTCTGGGTTCAGCATTTGGACTTGCATGAGAGCCACGGGACTGCTCACCCAGGCCTGAACCTTCCACAGAGGAGCCTCCCAGGCTCCCTGGCTCTCTTCCTTGCACCGTGCTCCCCACCACCAGCAGGATCAGCTCTTTGCAGAGATGACTCCCGTGCCCCAGCCCAGCTTCCCAGCAGGCGGCCCCGCCCCCCACACCCCCGAGCCACCTGCAGCAGGGTTCTGCAGACTTGGAGGTGCACCCTGAGCAATGTGTCCAGCTCCGGGGTGCCGGCCGTCAGCTCCTGCGATGACGCCTTGCGTGGCGGCGGGGGCGGGCTCCTGTCCTTTCTGAGTTGGATTGAGAAGAACTGGGTGACGGCGCCAGTTAGCAGCTTGGCTCCCTCCACGGGTAGAGGGGACCCTCCCTCCCGGAAAGCCCTGGTCAGGGAGGTGGGGTCCAGGTCCCGGGGAGAGAGAGTTCTACCACGGAGCAAACCAAGAGAAAAGGAAAAGCAAAAGCCGGCAGCAACTCGGCACGGGTGCTGGGACAGTGTGGGCCCTGGAGGCTGGGGTGGGGGGACGCCTCCAGGGTGTGCGATCTGGAAGGCAGAAGCCTGCGGTTCCAGCTAATCCTTTGCTCTGTGACTCTGGATGGGCCGGCCCCTCTGGCCTCAGTGTGCTCCTCTGAAAAGTGGGGCCGGGCCTCCCCAGCTCAGGGGAGGGAGGGTCAGGGCAGCCCTGCCGGCAAGCATCGCGCTCGGCAGCGTGTTGGCTTCGTGGTAGAGGCCGAGCCCGAGGCCTGAGGAAGGGCGGACGCGACACTGGAACGCTGGGTGGGACCGTGAGAGGAGAGGAAATGAGCTGTGTGTCCTCTCTGCTGCTGCTGAGATTTGGGTACAGGGGCAGGTGGGGGCTGCCTAACCGAGAAGGGAAGCGGGGGTCATAGGTGAGGGTGGAAGACTGCACAGAAGGAGGGGAGCACACGTCACTGGCGCCCGTGAGGTAGAGGACAGAGGTTCTTCTGTGTCCCTTACTGTTACTCTGTAAACTGAGATCCGAACCAGCCCATTGCCCACAGCTCAGGACCACGCTGGGGGGCAGTCATTCACTCGGCGGCGGGCATGCAGGGGTGAGGCGTGCAGCAAAGAAACAATAAGTCCCAGTCGGGCCCAGGACAGTGGAAGAGCTAGGCCGCAGGGGCCAGACAGGAAGCGCGGAAGCGAGGCCGGTGGCCAGGGCGGCCGTGGGAGGGGAGCGCACCTACCGGGGGCCCCGGCCGCCCCCACATAAGGGCAGCGCCTGCGGGGCGAGGTCGGCGCTGAGGAAGGCGAAGCTCTCCAGGACGCACTCCATCAGGCTGTCTACACAGGCGTGCTCCCGGTGGGCACCGCGGGGCTGCGGACAGAGCGGCGGGACTGAGGCCACAGACGGGCACGGCCCAGGTCACGAGCTGCCCAAGTGCAGCAACCACCCCCCAACCCCTCCCCAGTAGCCCGGTAGGTTTGCCTCCAAAGCCTGAGGGACACAGAGCCAGAAAGCCTCCCCTGTGGCTCACAGATGCCCACGGGGACAGTGCGAGGGACCGGAGTGAGGGACAGAGTGGGGGCGGGGAGCCCCAGAACACGTGTCCTTCCCCAAGAGGCCAGGCTGATGCTCTGCCCCAGCCCACACCTGCCACTTGGCAACGTGGGGCCGGCGTGGCCAGATTGTTCACGTTTCTAAGAAAAGCTGGAAACCTAGATTTTTGTGGGAAGCTGCTAGTTTTTAAACATTGACAACTAATTCCGAATTATTGTAAAAACAGGGCACGAGTCAGGCCAAACACGTCTCTGGGAGGCTCAAAGGTTGCCCGGTGAGCTTCTAGTCGTCAGGTGTCGCTTCTCCCCAGGAGATATGGAAGGAGAGGACATTGAGGCACCCCCTGATTGTCAGAGGTGGGGGGAGAGGGCTGGTGCCACAGCTTCTGCCACTGGTCGAGCCCCTTCGTACTCGAGATTTGGGGCTCCTCTCTCTGGATTCGGGACAGGACCCTAGGGCTTGCTGGGTCCGCATCCCCGGCGTGTCCAGGCCACGTCCCACATGGTCACCCAGGGCACAGCCTGAGCAGAAACTGCCTTGGGAAGCAGAACTAGGCACCTAAGAGTTGAGCCCACAGAGAAAATCTTGAGCAACAAGAGAATAACAATGGCTACTTGGAGATTTTTCCTCCAAAAAATAAAAGTATGTTTTTGTTTTTATGTGCTACACGCGCACGTGCGCACACACACACATCGGTTCTCATGATTCCAGGTGGTACCACACCATTGCTCTTAAGAGAAATGCAGAGACTACAAGCCTCTGGTCACATTTTCATCAACCCATCAGTAGAGAACCTTACTTTCTGTTTAAAGACACCTTATTTTATTATTTTTTAATTTTTTAATGTTGATTTGTTCTTGAGAGAGAGAGAGAGAGAGACAGCATGAGCAGGGAAGGGGCAGAGAGAGAGGAAGTCACAGAATCCCAACCAGGCTCCAGGTTCTGAGATGCCACACGGAGCCCGACCAGGGCCTCGAACCCATGGACCGCAAGATCATGACCTGAGCCCAAGTCGGACGCTTAACCGACTGGGCCACCCAGGCGCACCAGAGACACCTTATTTAATTTACACTGACGATTCACTCACACTGAACTCCAACCCTACTGCACTGAATTCACACCTGAACAAGGCCTCTGTGATAGATGTATTTTCTCAGTGAGGCCCCCTCACGGCCTTCCTGGGCTCAGGAGCTCTCTGGATGGCCCCTCCACACTGCGGTTGGGTCCCCCCAACAGCTCAAAATCACCAAAAGAAAGGGCAAAAATGTGGAAAACGTGGCATGAACTGGACAGCGGAAGGGACGTGCGTGCGGGACCCAGGGCTGCGGTGGGAAGGCACGGTGCCCTGGTTCAGCCCCAGCCCGGCATGTGCGTGGTAGGCGCCCCACGTTCTTTGCCGCTCTGCACGTTCTTTGCCGCAGACAGCCGTGAATGCGTCACAGGTATTGATTTTGGACTTACAGGTAAACTGTATAGCAAGTAGATGAATCAGAAACAAAGAGAATCCATGAACGGTGAGGACTGACTGTGTGCACACATGAAACATGCACATGTGCACACACACACATTTATACACATGCCCATCAAACTAAAAGCTATGGCCTGCACTTGTTTTTATTCTTTGAGTTTGGTTTGCTACAAGAGGAAAAGTTCCTCAAGCACATTGGACAGTATGCCTTGGGGCGCCTCGGTGGCTCAGTCGGTTCAGGTCATCTCACAGTTCATGGGTTCGAGCCCCGCATCAGGCTCTGTGCTGACAGCTTGGAGCCTGGAGCCTGCTTCAGATTCTGTGTCTCCTTCTCTCTCTCTGCCCCTCCCCTGCTCATGCTCTGTCTCTCTGTCTCTCAAAAGTGAATAAGCATTAAAAATTTTTTAAAAAAATAAAATTTTGTAATCAGAAAAATCAGATGAATCTGCCCAGGCCGGGACCACGGGAGCCACCCAAGGGCAGCCCTTGCCACGGGCCCTGTCAAAGAGGAGCAGGTTCAGGGTAGGGTGTGTGGCTGCTCACGGCCTTTGGCGGCCCCAGATCTGACTCTCAACACGCCCCGGGTTTGGGAATTGAACGCCCGACCTCAGCCCCCCCTGCCTGGGTCAGAAGGTGCGAGATGGCGCCAGGTTCTCTGGCCAGACGTGGGGCGGGTTATCTACCCCGATCTCCAACTTCTGCTTATAACCTCCCAGCCAGCGAGGGCCACCGTTATCCCCACTCGTCAGATGAGCAGACTGAGGCCCAGAGAGGAGACGCTGCCCAGCTGGGTCACACGGGAATGAGGCCAGGAGGCGGGCCCAGGCAGAGCCTACTCCCTGTCGTCAGGCACCAGGGCCGCCGGCCCTGCGGGGGTAAACCTACCTTCAGCCGGTCCCTGAAGCTGAGGACCTGGTACTCCAGCTCGCGGAGCTGCGGCGGGGCCGTGTCCACGGACCGCAGTAAATCCAGGACCTCTTGCAGCGGCCCGTCCACTCTGTCCTCGGCTCCTCCTTCATCGCCGTCTCTCTGGCGGCCCGGGACCGAGTGGCTGTGGAAGGGGGGGCCCCGCGGCAGGTTGGGGACCTCTGCTCCCAGATCCCTCCAGCCAGGCTGCTCCACAAACGAGCCACCCGCCAGGTGGGCCATCTCCAGCCCGAGGCCCAGGGATGGGGGGGTCTCCTCTTCGATGGGGGTGCTGGGGCCCACGGCCAAGGGCAGGAAGCCCACGTCTGAGGCAGACGCTGACGTGCTGGTCTCGGCGTCTCGAGGCTCCTCGGAGCTGAAGGAGTCCATCTCGGGCGGCTCCTGACTCTGGCTCCGCGGGCCGGGCCCCCGCAGGTCGCTGTCGGACTGGTGGCTGAGGATGGGGGCGCCCCTCGGGCCGCCCAGCAGCAGAGCCTGCTGTGCCGGCTGCTGCAGGACAGACTGGGGAGGGGACATGGGACTGGCCTTACTGCCACGCCGGGGGCCGCAGCACGGCCCCCAGAGGGCCTTCCCTCCGCAAAGACTTGCTCTGCACACGCACGTGGCCAACAGGCCTGGGGCCACCAAGGTGATCGGCAGCCTGGAGGTGCCAACAGGACCCCGCAGCCCCGCCCCCTCTAACCCACTCCTTTCCGGCCCCTGAGGCCGCCTTGCCCTTTACAGTGACTGTGCGCTCTTCCCGGAACATTCCGGCGTCTTTGTGGTCATGCCCGTGTCCCCTCAGGTCCTTACTCAAACGGCACCTCTGCTGGGGGCCTTTCCCTGGACACCCTATTTTAAATAGCAACTCCCACTTCGCCCCAGAAGCCCCCTCCCCCTTCCTGGTTTACGTTCCCGTGGTCCTCAGGCCTTGGGTCAGCCGGTGCTCCCCACGGGCCCCGGCCCCACCTGGCCTAGAACGGAGCCAGGCACAAAGTTGTGAGTGAGCTAACAGCTGACAGACACCAAGCCCTCCCCGCTCTGCAGCACCGCCTCCCTGCCCCTCACCAGGCAGAGACCACTAATAACGCCTGGTGTTCCAAAGCGGCATCTGTTTTTATCAGGCGTTCTTTGAAAGCCTTCTCGTTTATTAACTCGCCTAATCCTTGCAAAACCCCACCAGAGTGGTGCCGTTATTTTCAGTTCTTGGATATAGAAACTGAAGGGCAGAGAGGTTGAGTGACTTGCCCAAGGTCACATAGCAGGAGAAAGGCATAAATAGCATTTGAACCCAGCCATTCTGGCACTAGAGTCCATTCTCTGGACCATATATGATTTTTTTTTAAACTGTAGTATGCCACCCCCACCATGGCCAGAATATGGAAGACATTCACAACAGTAGCTGTCGCCAAGGAAGGGACCCAGATCCCTGGAGGTCATGGGAAACAGATGTTTTACTGTACGCTGTGTCAAGGTATTGTCTACTGGAAAAATATATTGAATTTAATTTTAAAATAAGTACGCTCTGGTGGGGGTGGTAGAACCACACAGAGAACCCCATTCTAGGAGAACCAGCCAGAGGCCCCCAGAAGGGAGGGCTGACAATGAGGAAGACACAGGACAGGAAACCACCCAGGATGGTCCCAAACCAGGGAGCGTGTGCCCAAAGGTAGACCGCAAGTGCCGGGCTGCTGAGCCCAGCGCTGGCCCCTGGGGAGTCGCCCCCACCCACAATCCCGGGGTGACCGCAGCCTCCCTGCCCTGGTGAGGCTCACTCACCAGGTAGTACCTCTCTCGGAAGCTGGGGGTGCTGGGGGGCGTCCAGTTGTACAAGGAGCCCTTTCTGCTGCCCATGGAGAACTTGCCCGTAGGGCTGGGCGACACCAGGAAGCTCTCAGTATCGAACGGGCTGGAAGAGAGAACAGAAGGCGGGGGGCGTCACCAGTGTGTGGGAGAACATCAGCTCAGATAAGACCTCGGGGGCCTTAAGAGGAAATAGGGGAGCTCGGGAGGGGCATGGCCTTGCCTGGGGCCACAGGCACAGCCCAGGGGTTCTGGGTGCACATTCTCAACCCCCTTGGGAATGTCCCAGACTCCCTCAGCCACGGCAAGGGGCAGCGATTGGCCACGACACGTGTGAATGACACCCCCTTCGCAGGTCCCCTCAAGAAGCCCCGGGGAGGCACAGCGGACACTCAGTTCTGCCGTTTTCTGGATGAACGACGTCACCGTCCCTCTCATCCTGATCTGTAACAGGGGTGCCGTTATTTACGGAGGGACCTCTGTCCGTCGTGGTCACAGGTAAGGCTGGGAAGCCCCAGTGAGGGTGTGACATGCAGGGGAAGTGGGGCTCCAGCCTGGCCCCCGCCCAGCCCACCCTGGGAGCCAGTAGGGCTGCTCCCTGCGTCCTTGGACTTGCCCGGCCTCCCGCTGGCTGGTGGCCCAGCCCACCGCCCTGTAGACCTGAGGGCCTTCCCTGGGAAGAAGGGTGCGCAGCCCCCACCGGACAGATGAGGACACTGGGGCTGGGGCGCTCACTTGCCCCACTTCCCCCAGCTCCTTGGGGAGAAAGCGGCGTCCAGTGACCCCAGGCTCGGACGCCCACCCCCCGAAGAATGGAGAGAGCGCCCCCCACCCCACCCCCCCGGCCAGGGCAAGCTCCAAAACAGAAGAAGCATGTGCCCCCGGCCCTTGGGCACTGCTGCACCTGCCTGGGGGAATAGAGAGAAGGGAATTCTCTCGAAATGCAAAGTTCCATTTCGGGGGGAGGGGCCCTCCTGCCAGGAAAACAGAGCCTGTGGAGACCAGCAGCAGTCACTGAACGGCCCAAGAAGGTGGCGAGTCCGCCGCCCCAGGTGGGCACTCCCCCGGCCCCTGCGATGCCCGGTGGAGAGTGCCCGCCTCGGGCAGGTGTTGTTTTCACGAGTGTCCCCGTCCGTGGGGTCCGTGGTCCAGGGGGCAGCAGGGGCGGCGGGGAATGAGGTGGCGGGAGCAGTAAGGGCAGAGGCAAGGCTCCTCCCTGGCACCCAGCCCCGGGGGCCGCCGGAAAGTGTCCTGGCCAGCACAGGCGCTTAGGTGTAAGCGAGGGGTGGGGGCGGAGAGGGTGGGCAGAGCCTACAGAGAAGGTCTAGGTTCCAGCATGGCCGTGGGGCCGGGCAGGGATGCCCAGGAGCGGATGCGAGGGTGTGGTCAGGCCACCGGGGAGCCAGCGAGGCCTTCCTCTCTCGGCCTCTGGGTGGGAGTCCCGTCCGGGTGGGAGGGAGTGTGGGGCCGGCCTTGGGGAGGGCACCGGGGCCCGGGGGTGGGGGGTGTGTGGGGCGCGTCCCCTACTCACTTCCACAGCACCTCCAGCTGCAGCTTGATGGTGCCCAGCTCTGTGATGTCCACCACGATCACCTGCGGCCTGGTGGTGAAGAAGTCAGTGATGTCACAGGTCACTGTGCCCACGGCCATCGAGCTCAGGCCCCTCAGCTCTGTCACCTGTGGGGGGGTGGAGTTGTGGGTGACGCCCGAGCCCCGCCTCTGGGCACCCTATCCCCGCCCCTGTGCCTCACCCACCTTGATCTCGAAGTTCTCGTGCAGCGTGGGGGTGAAGGCCTTTTCCTCCTCCTCCCAGTTCTGGCTGTCGTCAGACTCGATCCTGCCCTTCAGCTTCCAGCGCTGGCGGCCCAGGCGCATGAGCACCTGCGGGCCCAAGAAGGGGTGCGTCAGCCGCCCCAGGGAGCCGCTCCCCCGTGCCACCTGCCTGGGGGCCCTCCCTGCCGGCCGGGCGGGGATGGGGACAAAAACCGGGACCCTGGTTCTCAGCAGCTCCCGACCCCCCAGGGCCCGGCGGGAAGCCCTGAGGACTGATGCCCGAGGGGCCATACCTCGTACTGGTCTCCGGGACAGAGGCGTGCGTAGCCCACCAAGCCTAGAACACAGAGACGGTGTCCTCCCCGCCCTGCTCTGCCCCTGCCCCGGGGACCACGGGCCCTCGCGGGGGGTCCCCTGCCCGCGCCGGGGTGTCGCCTTCAGGGAGGGATAAATCATGATGGACACCTCGGGATGGGACTTGGCTGAGGTCACCAGTCACATGAGTGGAAACCCAGAGTTTTCCTGGACCCCTGGGACCCTGACCAAACCTCCACCCTCAGCAAAAGTCCCATGGCCTGCTGGGCAGCCTGGTGCCCCCCGCAGCCCCCTGAACTGGCTTCTGCCCACCCACTTTCAGCCCTGTTACCTTTCATCCTGATGTGGAACTCTCCCAGGTGAACCTCCAGGGCCGCCTCGATGAGCCACATGTCCTGCAAAGCACCCCCCACATGCACACGGGGTTCACGGCCCGCCCCTTGGAGGTGGGCACACAGGTCCTGCCGCCGGAGGCCCCGGGCAGCAGAGAGCAATGCTTCCCCAGGGTCCAGCCCCTCCGCCCCCCACTCGCTAGCCCGGGAGCCCCCCACGCCCACCCACCTGGGCCCCGGGCACCCCCCACGCCCCCCCTGCTAGCCCCGGGCGCCCCCCATGCCCACCCCCCTCGGCCCCGGGCGCCCCCACGCCCACCCACCTGGGCCCTGGGCACCCCCCACGCCCACCCACCTGGGCCCCGGGCACCCCCCACGCCCCCCCTGCTAGCCCCGGGCGCCCCCCATGCCCACCCACCTCGGCGCACTCCTGCAGGCTGCGGCCCAGCTCCTGCAGGCTCTCCCGGGAGGCGCGGCTGGCCGGGCACCGGGAGAAGGCCCTCTGCATGTTGGCGGCCCCGTCCCGCAGGCGGCACTGGATGCAGTAGCCCTCGTAGAGTTCGTCCACCTGGGGGGCGGGGGGCGCAGGGGCTGGTGGACGCGGTGCGGGGGGTGAGCCAGGCCTGCCTGCCACTCTCACCCCCGGGGAGAGGCTGCACCGCCCTGGGTCCCCCTTCCCGGAGAGTGTGAGCCCCGGGGGCAGGGATCACATTGGCCGTCCACTCCTGTCCCCAGCGCCCGGGGCAGCCTGCACACAAACTGACTGCGTGGAGGCATCACTTCCCCCTCTCCCTGCCCAGCTTTTGGACTGTGAAACAGGAGGTGGGCTTGTGACACCCTGCCCAGCCACCAGGCTGCCTAGAGTCAGGTGAGGACATGGGAGTGCTTGGGGGGTAAAAGCTTGAAGGGCTTGCTGTGTGACCTTGGGCCTGTCTCTGTCCCTCTCTGTGCCTGTATTCTCCCATCTCTGCAATGGAGCAGTTGGACTCAGCCCCTAGCCCTGTAAGAGGCAGCATGAGATCTTTCCCTCTAAACCCCACAACCCTGGGGGCCCAGCCACCCCTGACCCCCCTGCCTGGGGACCCAGCCCGTGCAGTTCCTGGTCCTCCTCGGCCTCCCCCTGCCCGGCCAGCCCCAGCCCTGCCCCGTGACGCCCAGGAGGCTGACCTTGCTGATGTGAAACTCCATCTTCCGGATGTGCCTTTCCACAGAGCGCGTTTGCTTCCCCCAGAAAAAGAGAAGGTACTTTGACAGCGGCCTGGGCCACGCCCTCCCCAGGCCCCAGCCCCCGCCCCTCCCCCCCCCCCCCCCCCCCCCCCCCCCCCCCCCCCCCCCCCCCCCCCCCCCCCCCCCCCCCCCAGAACTGGGCTCCAAGCCAGGCCATCCCCTCCCCATCCTTGAGGAAGGCTCGTGGCTGAACCCGTTTCCCCATTTTACAAATGCGGGGGGGGGGAAGGGGACCTCCCATAGGCCTGAGGGACGAATCAGCCCCTCGCGCGCCCACTGGGCTTACCGTGTGCAGAGTCTCACTCACCTTGTCCAGGTCGTAATAGAAAGCCTGTGGGGAGGAAAGCGGGGAGGGACAGGTGTCAGGACCCCAGGGCCCCTCCAAGACCCACGTGGCTACATCCCAGGAGCACTGAGCTTGGAGGACGGAGAGCCAGCAGCCGCTCCCTCCTCAGAGCCCTGCAGTCAGTGGTTCCAGGCCGAGGGGGAGGAGTGATAAACACACGCACGTTGGGCGAGGCAGTTCTGGGCCCGGCTTTGTTTCCCAGCTGTGTGTCCCGGGCCAGTTACTCAACATCTCTGAGCCTCCATCCCCTCCTGTGAAACGGGGTGGCCTGGAACAGAGCACCTGCCCCACAGGCTCGTGGTGAGGAGTGAAGGATGAGGCAAGCCCTCAACCAGATGGGGATCATTGTGATTTGATTGTTCAAGGGGTGATCTCAGCCATGGCCAGAAGAGCGGAGCCGGGGTGGGAGTGGGGGAGGCAGCCAGCACGGGGGTGGGGGGGGCTGTGATTCCAGCTTCGGAAAATGCAAATCCAGACTGGTCCAGCCACGCCAGGGGCCAGGGGGCCAGCCAGGCAAATCTCCGCGTAAAGGGCCAGACAATAACAACTTTTGGCTTTGGGGGCCCTGTGGTCACGGCCACAGGAGTGTGAGCACAGCCACAGGCCGCGTGTCCGTGATGGGCGTGGCCTGCACGGATAAACCTCATTTGCAAATAGGCCCTAGTTTGCCCACGTAGCTGAAATCGCCCTATTTGAGTCTGGAGGGGTTTCTGCAAAGTCAGAGTTTCGTTTGGGAGAAAAAGCAAGATGTGTGAATGGGGACTTCGCTTTTATAACCCAAACCTTCCGTACACATGCGTATGGGTGTCTACATAAGGATGTGGCCAGGGAGAAAAATAGGGACAAAATAGATTGTCCTCGGGGCCCAACAGTGGGGGTCACAGAGACTGGGGAGAGAGCAGTATCAGGCAGAAAGGAAGCATGAACCAAACCCCCGCAAAGTGTGTGTTTTCCCGTGTATGCGTTTATGAGAAACTACATGTGTGCGGTCGTGAAATTAAAACTCCATGTAAGAAATAAATAGGAAAGTTCCCGAGCCTTTGGAAAGAAAAGTAACTGCGCAGGGAGCCACAAGGCAGCCTCATCCAGGGAGCCAGGACCCCATGTCCCTCTGCCCCTTGCATGGCCCCAGGGTGGCCACCCCTTCCCTGGCTTCAGTGTGCCCATCCGTGAAATGGGAGCAGCTAAAACATACTTTAGACACTTGCCTACCTTACGGTTACTTCTAGAGCCAGAAAGTGGAGGGGGGCCCTGCCTGAGACTGTGGACTCCTGAGTCTTGAGGCACGGGGTGGGGGGAGGCGGGGAGGAGACGAGGGGGGAGGAGGGAGGGCAGGAGCTTCCCAACAGTCTGTGAGGTTAAATTCCCCAGGGGTCAAGTGAGGTGAGCTCATCACAAGATAAAGACCATCCATTCCTTAGGCCTCTGATTTTATACCCGAGATGCAGGCCGGGGGCAGGGGTGGGGGAGACCATCTTTGCACCCCCCCTCCAGGCTGCTCGGGTGGCAAGGGGCAGGGAGGGGTCTCACCAGCCTGGAGTTCCTGCTGGTGTCCGTGTGGCGCCCTGACAGGTAATCCAGCTCGGCCTGCTGGACGCACAGATACTCCCTGTGAGGAGAGTGAGGAGGGGGTTTGCAAAGGAGCAGGAAGGGGCAGAGACACGGCCTGGCGAGCAGCGCACAGCGGTGGGTCTGGGGGGGCTCAGCGGTCAGGGGGCAGCACTGTCACCCCCGCCGGAGGCCTGGCCCCAGCTCGCTCAGCCTCCAGACCCCGCACGCTGAGGGCCGTGCGCCCGGTGCCATGCGAGATGGGAACTCTCTCCCTTAATTCACCAAACGGCTCCACAAACAGGCCCTATTGTTATTATGCCCATTTTATAGATGGGCAGACTGACCTTCAAAATTGGCAAATAACTCTGCGCAGAGTCGCAGCGGGGAAGAGGCCAAACCCAGGACTGACACCGGCAGTGGCCTTCAGAGGCCACTCTGGGGGGGGGGGGGTCAGCAAGAGCACCCCTCCCTCACGGACCAAGACAGGCCATGCTCTGTCGGCATGATTAGGGCCCAGGACCAGAGAGCGGCTGGAAGGCCCATTCTGGGAAGCGCCGAGAAAGCTGTGGGCCTGGAGGGGACACTTGATGTTCTTTTCCAGCCAGAGAGCCTTAGACATGAAACGTGAGGGCTGGACGCGGGGCCACGGTGAGGCCCCACCCCGCTGAGCCAGAGATGCACTAGGCCCCCTGGGAAGGTGACCCACCCCCTCCGGGCCCACTGACACCGCCATCGGCCAGGCTGCCGCTCACTCAGGGGTTGGGCTCCCCCGGAAGAAGGGGGTGCTGTGGAGGGAGCCCAGACAAGTCTCCAACGTGTGGTCCTTACAGGGTCACCGAGAGGGGCCTGGGAGACAGGCTGCAGGCACCCGGCCCCGGCTCCCGCTCTGCGCCAGCGCCGCTGGGGCGGGCGGTGCGCCCGTGGGTGGAGGATGCTGGACGTCCCCTGGGCTGGCGTCAGGGCTTGGCGCGTGGGGGGGTGACATTTGCCCTGAGCCCGGGGAGGGTGGGGGCGGGTTGCGGACACAGGTCGGTCGGCACTGGCCCCGCTCCCTGCTGCCTGGCTGTGGGGCCCTGGACGAGTTGCTGCCCATCTTTGGGACTCAGTTTCCTCTCCCGGAAAAGGAGGGGAGGAGGCTCCCTGCCAGCGTGCTTCAGGGATTGACTCAACGACGGGACGCGTGTAAAGCCCACAACAAGCCGTAGCTGTCGCCACTGCTGCTAATTAGTGGGAAGCAAAGAGCGGATCACAAGGGGTGGAGGGGGGGACAGGCGTCCCGACAGGAGGGGACAGCACTCGATTCAGAACACGTGCACGCGTCTGAACAAGGCACATGGGCGAGCGGCAGCCTCCAGAGACTCCCTCCCCCTGCCCGGGAGCTGCCCTGCAAGGACCACAGCGCAGCCCCATGAAGGAGGGGGGTGCATTCGGGGAACCAGAGGGGACAGGGAGTAAAAGAAGAAAAGTCTAGAAAGGTTGAAGGTCAGAAAGGACCCTGAATGCCCTCCTGAGGGGAGTAGGGAGCCACGGGAGAGACTTGAGCAGAGCAGGGGCGGCAGGTGAAGCAGGGGTGGGTGGGGGCGGGGCTGCTGGAGGAGAGGAGGCCCGGGAATGGGGGTCACAGAGTCGAGGGACACGGAGGGGGTACTGGCAGCGCCCCCCCCACGTGACTTATTCTTGGGGCAACACTGCGCTTAAACCAGAGCCCTGACCTCTTCCACAAACCTTCCTGTTTATGTGCAAACTACCTCCTCTCATCTCCGCTTGGATGATCTCTCTCTCTCTCTCTCTCTCTCTCTCTCTCTCTCCCCCCGCCCCCCCCCCCCCCCCCTCAGTGAATCGTGTCTGCTCCACCTTCAAAATGTATCCTGAACCTGACCCTGTCCCCTGCCCCCTCAGCCGCCACCCGGTCGAGTCCAGCATCATCTCCTGCCTGGACCCTTGGACTCCCCTCCTCACGGGCCTCCCCTCTTCTCCGCCCCCACCCCTTGCAGTCCGTCCTCCACATACAGCCAGAGGGTCTTGTTGGAACTGAACTCAGACCAGTCCCCCCGTGCAGAACCCAGCTCACCCAGAGGGGACACTGAGTGCTCACAGGCCGCGCGTCATCTGGTCCCCAGACCTTTGCTTCCCTCTCTCCACTCCCATGCCGGCCTCCTCACTATACCCTTAATGCTCTGATCGTGCTCTTGCCCCAGGGCCTTTGCACATGTGGCTCCCTTGGCCTAGAATGTTCTTTATCCATTACCTGCCGAGTTCCCTCCTTCACCCCTTCAGGTTTTTGCTCAAAGGTCACCTTCTTAAATGAGAACTTCTTTGAACCCCTTGTTTAAAATCAGCCCCACACCTTCTTACCCTGGTGTGTTTTCTATCAGGCTACTTCCCGGCATCTGACACACTCTGGATTTTGCTTCCCTGCACTGTTTCTTGTCTGCTTCCCCGTTAGGAAGCTCCACGGGGACAGGGATTTCTGTGTTCCACTCACCCCCGCACCTTGTGCCTGGCTCTGTGTGAGTTCTGGGTAAAAATACATGGAGCAGACACCTGGGTGGCTCGGTCAGCTAAGCGTCCAATTTGATTTCAGTTCAGGTTATGGTCCCACAGTTCGTGAGTTTGAGTCCCACTGTCAGCTCAGAGCCTCCTTGGGATTCTCTCTCCGTCCCTCTCTCTCTGCCCCTCCCCTCCTCTCAAAACGTAAATGAGCTTCTAAAAAACTTATGTGGAGTGAGTGACTGAATCTTCCTGTTCCGGCCTCCGCCCAGCTAACCTGTCCAACTCTGGGCCTCCTGTCCTACACTCTCCTGCCTCAGGGCCTTTGCCCGGCCTCTCCCCCTGCCTAGGGGGCTTATCTCCCAGGGCCCAGTTCAACCGTCCGATCTCCGCAGTCACCCGGTGCTGCCTCTCTGTCCCTCACACTGAGAGCCGCTGGGAGTTCTGTCACTGGTAGTATTGCTTCCGTATTCCTGTCTCCCATCCCCGCCAGAGAGGCCAGCACCCCCCGCAGCGCCGACGGATGGGCCTGAGCGTGGCTGCATCCAGGACATGCTCGTGGGCAACACGAGTAGCTGGGAGCCCCCTGTGTTCCTTGAGGGGGAGACGAGAAGCGGGCGGAGAATGCACGTGTTAGGGCAGCAAACAGTGGTCCTTACTTGAGGCCTCTCTTGAGAGCTTTGAAGACCCTCTTCACTTGCTGCGGCTTGGGGTCCGGGCAGACAGCCCCCTTCCGCAGCGTGCCATACGTCTTGGAGGACCTGGTGGGCATTCGCGATCTCACGGAGTTCCCGTGGGTGGACTTTCTGTGAGAAGGGGTGAGGGTCAGGGCAGGGAGCTGGACTCAGCCCTCCCCGGGGGAAGGCGCCGTGGAGCAGCCGTCAGAGCCCCAGGCCCCTGGCCAGGACCCACCCCCACCCCCACCCCCCACCGAGCCATGCGAGCTCAGGAAAGTGACCTAGACCCTCAAGGCCTCGGTTTCCTCATCTGCAAAAGGAGAGCTTGGGTTTGAAGATCAAAAGAAGATGAAGAAGAACCTGTCATGCGAAATTAACATGGTGAGAAGTACAATCGGCCCCAACGCCAGTGTTTTCTGCTCAGTGTGCGCTGTCTGTGCTGGCAAAACAACCCGGGAGGCCAAATCGTAGCCGTGCGGTGTACCCACGGCTGGGCACGTGTTGGCTCTGCCTGCCCGGGACCCACGCCTCTCCCTGTTAATACCACCTCAGTTTTCCTCTGGGCATCTCCCCTAACTCTGCTTTTCGTACATGTGGTTTGGAGGGGGGTGGCCTGACAGATCACCCCATGCGCGCACGCGCGCGCACACACACACACACACACACACAGGCATTCTGAGCCAAATGCATGTCCCCGGCCTGGGTTAGTCCACACATTCTACTTCCCTGTCTCAGGGAGATGCATGGGACACAAGTGTGTCCAGTAACCCTGCTAGGATGGGGTTCCAAATTCACAGGGAGGAAAAGGATCCTTTCTTATGACATTGCTATTCTGGGGGAACATAAACCCGGAACAGCCAGCCATTCCCTTTCCATCATGCAGGGAGAATGGAGCCAACATAGAGAGAAGCAGATGGAGGCAGACCGGTTCCATACGACAATGAGTTCCTGGATCCAGCTATGCCTGAAGCTAGGCCTGCCCATGGAATTTCAGGTACATGAACCAGTCGGTTCTCTTTTTTTGCTTATGCCTATCGGAGTTGGGGGTGTGGACTGAATGATCTTAAGAACTGATGTCTCCCGGGGGCGCCTGGGTGGTCGGTTGGGTGTCCGACTTTAGCTCAGGTCATGGTTTCACGGCTCGTGAGTTCAAGCCCCGCGTCGGGCTCTGTGCTGACAGCTCAGAGCCTGGAGCCTGCTTCAGATTCTGTGTCTCCCTCTCTCTCTGCCCCTCCCCTGCTCATGCTCTGTGTGTCTCTCTCAAAAGTAAATAAACAACAAAAAAAAAATTAAAAAGTTAAACTAAAAGTTCTTTTCTTTCTTCTCCCAGCAGTGACAGCTGTGTCTCTCAGCCCCTGAGGGACCCGCCAGGGCTTCAGGACTCGTAACAGCAGTACAGGCTGAGGGCGTCCTCGTTACAGGACTGGGCTGGCATCACTGGCATCTAAGCCCCTTCTAGAATCCTATGCCTCATTCACCAAGTGCAAGACCAGGGCCGGCTGATGCAGCCTTCGCTCACCACCAGGTGCGCCTCAGACCATCCTTTTAAGCCTCATTATCTTAAAGACGCTGTTTCCCAGGTGCCCCTGCACCCGGTGCGGCTTCGTGACTCCCTTCTCACAGAAGAAGCAAGAATGGAAATAACACTGACGTCTGAGTCCCTTTCTTTCTTTTCTTTTTTTTAATGTTTTATTTATTTCTAGGAGAGAGAGAGAGAGAGACAGCGTGAGCACGGGAGGGTCAGAGAGAGAGGGAGTCACAGACTCTGAAACAGGCTCCAGGCTCTGAGCTGGCAGTCAGCACAGAGCCCGACGCGGGGCTCGAACCCACGAACCGCGAGATCATGACCTAAGCGAAAGTCGGACGCTTAA